TCAAGGGCATTACTGTGTTTGAGTATGATATCGTCCTGGGGTGTGGCAGTGAGATATTTCAATGGCTCACTGTTACCAGGCTTAGTTATATTAGTTCACTGTGCTGTCAAAAAGCCATATGCAAATGAATCGGAACACCTTTGTCAAGGATGGACAAACATGACGGGGAGAATACCGCAGAAACAAAACATATCTAGTTATAGTATTAAACATGAAAGATGTGTATTATGTTATTTGAGAATTACAAGTTGAATGTTTCTCCTGCTGTGAACCTGTAGCCACGGTATTCATCGTCAGTCGAGCGAGGTTGTGTAGAGGGTGTGTTTATTCTTATTCACATTTCATATATAATAAGGTGAATGTCTGTTGTTGAGTGCTATTGACTCTTTATGTGCGTGAGTTCTGTGTTGACACAGACACAAGGAAGTGATGGGTTGTGGCATCCAGGAAGAATACCACGGCCACTCAGTACAAGGGCTGGTACAAATCCAGACTTACACCAAAGTACTCGACCCTACCCACATAACCCCTGTAGGTCTCACGAGTTGGTACTAGGGCTGGTACAAATCCAGACTTACACCAAGGTACCCGACCCTACCCACGTAACCCCTGTAGGTCTCACGAGTTGGTACTAGGACTCACGAGTTGGTACTAGGGCTGGTACAAATCCAGACTTACACCAAGGTACTCGACCCTACCCACGTAACCCCTGTAGGTCTCACGAGTTGGTACTAGGGCTGGTATAAATCCAGACTTACACCAAGGTACTCGACCCTACCCACGTAACCCCTGTAGGTCTCACGAGTTGGTACTAGGGCTGGTACAAATCCAGACTTACTCTAAGGTACTCGACCCTACACAGGGCGTAACCCCTGTAGGTCTCACGCAAGTTGGTACTAGGGCTGGTATGAATCCAGACTTACACCAAGGTACTCGACCCTACACGTAACCCCTGTAGGTCTCGTGTGAGATGGTCCCTAGGGCTGGTATGAATCTAGACTTACTCTAAGGTAAGGTACTGGACCCTACCCACGTAACCCCTGTAGGTCTCACATGAGTTGGTACTAGGGCTGGTATGAATCCAGACTTACACCAAGGTACTCGACCCTACCCACGTAACCCCTGTAGGTCTCACCTGACTTAAACCCTGTGGGTCTCCGAGTTGGTACTAGGGCTGGTACAAATCCAGACTTACACCAAGGTACTCGACCCTACCCACGTAACCCTTGTAGGTCTCATGAGTTGGTACTAGGGCTGGTATGAATCTAGACTTACTCTAAGGTACTCGACCCTACCCACGTAACCCCTGTAGGTCTCACTGAAGTTGGTACTAGGAGTTGGTACTAGGGCTGGTGTGAATATGAATCCAGACTTATACCAAGGTACTCAACCCTACCACGTAACCCCTGTAGGTCTCACGAGTTGGTACTAGGGCTGGTGTGAATCCAGACTTATACCAAGGTACTCGACCCTACCCACGTAACCCCTGTAGGTCTCACGAGTTGGTACTAGGGCTGGTGTGAATCCAGACTTACACCAAGGTACTCGACCCTACCCACGTAACCCCTGTAGGTCTCACGAGTTGGTACTAGGGCTGGTATGAATCCAGACTTACTCTAAGGTACTCGACCCTACCCACGTAACCCCTGTAGGTCTCATGAGTTGGTACTAGGTACTAGGGCTGGTATGAATCCAGACTTACACCAAGGTACTCGACCCTACCCACGTAACCCCTGTAGGTCTCACTGAGTTGGTACTAGGGCTGGTATGAATCCAGACTTACTCCAAGGTACTCGACCCTACCCACGTAACCCCTGTAGGTCTCACAAGTTGGTACTAGGGCTGGTATGAATCCAGACTTACACCAAGGTACTCGACCCTACCCACGTAACCCCTGTAGGTCTCACGAGTTGGTACTAGGGCTGGTGTGAATCCAGACTTATACCAAGGTACTTGACCCTACCCACGTAACCCCTGTAGGTCTCACGAACTGGTACTAGGGCTGGTACAAATCCATATTCATTACTCAGGTATCTGACTTACTCTTGTGCAGCCCTGTTTGGGTAACCTGTGAATGTCTCAAGAGTTTGATTGGAAAGCCCTGACAAAAATATGAAGGTAACCTTTAATATGATATGTGTGCATACACTAAAGTTGACTGTTTTATGTTCATTCAAACAAATAGGGGCTGTGGGGTAGCCTAGTGGTTAAGGCCTTTGCTTGTCTTGCCAAAGACCAGGGTTTGATTCCCAACACTGGTACAATGTGTTAAACCCATTACTCGTGTACCCTGCCGTAATATTACTGGAATATTGTTAAAAGTGGAGTAATACTAAAGTCATTCACTCACTATAAGATCGTTATGTGGAACACGGCACTGTAGTACCAGTGTTTCACCAAAGTGGAAACGTCACATGACCTACATGGCGTTATGCTACACTCACTCACTCAATCGCTCGTGTTAGAATTGGCCTTGTCGTAAGAGGCGATTAACGTGATCGGGTAGTGAGGCTTGCTGACTTGGTTGACAGATGTTGTCATATCCCAATTGGATAGAATTAAGCTAATGATGATGATCACTGGATTGTTTGATCCAGACTCGAATATTTACAGACTGCTGAGTGCGGCGTTAAATAATAAATCACTCACTCACTTGTGGGTTAGAATTTGTCTATGCTCGTCGTAATGGTGTCAGGTGGTTAGTCTTGGTAACTTCAATAATGCCTGTCATGTGCTGATTGAGATGCACCTGACGTCAGTCACTATATTGACTGGTCAAGACTTGATTGTTACACTGTCATATGGCTGGAATATATCTAGCATGCAGCGTTAAACACAACATTAATATGAACAAAAAAATATTTCTTTTAACATGAATAAATTTATGAGTAATTCATTCAGTATGAATATTTACTAAACAAAAGACATGAGGTCAACAGAGATGGCTCACTTTTACACATCATTCAAATGACGCAGAATATTTAATTTGAATTGTGAAAAGAGACTAAGATGAACAAAAAGTAAAGTTTTTCCGGGGATGAATCACGTTTCATGAATGTACTGCAGGGTTTGTTTGGTACACTGTGTCAGCAGATACCTGCAAGGTGTTGTTTTGACAAATTGACTGCAGCACAGGAAAATCTGCGTGACAGGACATGTTGGCTCATTTAGTATAGCCGATAAGGCTAGACCAATCTGACATTTTGTGTCACAGAGTTTCTTTGTCAAAATGGCGCAAAACTGGAAGCAGACTAGTGAATATATAAAATATTTCATGGTATATTTAGGTGTTCCTGAAAAATGCGTGCATGTAACAAGTTGTAATCAAAGACTTTGCCACATGTTACAAACCTCAAGATGTGAGACCCGTGAAGATCAGGAGTAGAATAGGTCTTCTGCAACCCATGCTTGCCACAAAAGGCGACTATGCTTGTCGTAAGAGGCGACTAACGGGATCGGGTGGTCAGGCTCGCTGACTTGGTTGACACATGTCATCGGTTCCCAATTACGCAGATCGATGCTCATGCTGTTGATCACTGGATTGTCTGGTCCAGACTCGATTATGTACAAACCGCCGCCATATAGCTGGAATATTGCGGAGTGTGGCGTAAAACTAAACTCACTCACTCACTCAAGATGTGAATTAGGGATACGTATTAAGCAAGCAAATTTTAATCACATTCAAGTAATCATCTCCACAAAGATTATTAAATTAATTTAAAAATAAAAAAAGTTAAAATGTTCAATGGTCTTTTTAAAACATTTGGGGTAGACTGTGGCAGTAGACATCTTAGTAAGACATATTTTGATCTAGCCATGAAGTTGATCTGACAGAACCCAGTTGCTGTCCATGGCATCATATGTATAGTTACCTACGAGATAGAAATACTTATATATGGTCTGATCTTAGTTAATTGTTTTTAAAATCAGTGCTCATGAATGTCATTCAGGGAGATTCCAGGTTAGACTAGGTTCTACCCTGATGTACCCATTGCCCCCTGATGGTGTGGATTGTTGCTCTCGATATCAGTCACTGGATTGTCTGGTCCAGATTCAGTTATTATAGGTTGCTGTTATACAGCTGGATTGTTTAATGTGATGTCAAACAACAGACTTTTTTGTGGATTTTTTATATGAATTCTTGTCTTTACAAGGAAACTGTTTCCTGTTTAGAGAACTAACAATTACTTAGTAACTTAATACTGTTCCAATATCTGCTGTAGCCTGACAAGTTAAACAATATAAGGTTTTGACTGATATACTGCTAAAAGTAGCATCACAAAAGTGCCGTAATCATGAATAAACACTGCAATTCTTTTGCAATATGGATCAACCATTGTGATAGCACTGCTTAAGGTAAAGAAGTACTTGTCTAATCTTGCAGTGTAGAGTATTGGGTAGTATTTAACATTGTGACCAGCTGAAAAGGTCTATCTGTCAAAGATTATAAAAAATGATGTACATGATTAGTTCAATTTATTGACATTTTCTGAATGGACACATGCCTAGCTCTTCAAGCAAGGTAGAAACTTTGGAAAGTTTCCAGTGATTTGTCCATTTATGTTTGTCTTGATAATGCAGTGTGCTGTTCATGTTAAATTTTGATTTTTATAAATTGCTATGCATCAACAGTCCAATCAAACATTTCCCCCCAATTCCTGGCCCTTTGTGCCTTTCTTGGCAGTACAGTTAACATCCATCAGAAGTCAGTTGCCATGCCTACACCTATACACTGGAATGACATTTGTTGGATGCAATTTAGCAGGGCCACACAAAAAGCAGAATAACATTTTTTTCAGCATGTTGTAGAGACTGCATGAATAATGGAACAGCCATACTTTGGTTGAATGTGAAAAAATGGCAAATGTCTGTGTCGTTTTAAATCTGAACTTTTCTCTTAAACTGAGAACATGTTTTGAATTAAATTTCTATGGCTTGTATAAAAATGATATCCTTTGTTTTGATGAATTTATGTTGAAAGATAACGTTTATTTCTTCAGGCCTTTTCACCATGCCGCCTGTTTGTGCTGGCAGCCCGAGTGCCTACAAAGGTGAGTGTTGTTCACACATATTTAGATGTTTCTTAGGATGGTGCCTTGTTATGGGAGCTGTTTAACAAAGACTGAGTGTCCAGGATAGATTAGGCTCTAAGTATCATATGCTTGTCATGCTACGTCCATGATATCAAAGGAGCCAACTGCCGAGGATCGGAGCCAACTGCCGAGGATTGGGTATCTGAGGGCCCATGATATATCTGTCCATGATATCATAGGAGCCAACTACCGAGGATTGGTGTATGACTACGTCCATGATATCATAGGAGCCAACTACCGAGGATTGGGTGTCTGGGGTATGACTACGTCCATGATATCATAGGAGCCAACTAGCCGAGGATTGGGTGTCTGGGTATGACTACGTCCATGATATCATAGGAGCCAACTGCCGAGGATTGGGTGTCAACATGATATCATAGGAGCCAACTGCCGAGGATTGGGTGTCTGGGTATGACTACGTCCATGATATCATAGGAGCCAACTGCCGAGGATTGGGTGTCTGGGGTATGACTACGTCCATGATATCATAGGAGCCAACTGCCGAGGATTGGGTGTCCAGGGTATGACTACGCCCATGATATCGTCCATGATATCATAGGAGCCAACTACCGAGGATTGGGTGTCTGATATCATAGGACAACTACACGATTGGAGTGTCAGGGGTATGATTCACGTCCATGGGTATGACTATGTCGTCCATGATATCATAGGAGCCAACTGCCGAGGATTGGGTGTCTGGGGTATGACTATCGTCCCATGATATCATAGGAGCCAACTGATATCCGAGGATTGGGTGTCTGTCCATGATATGACTCGACTCCATGATATCATAGGAGCCAACTACGAGGATTGGGATCTGGGTATGACTACATCCATGTCAACTGGGTATGACTATGACGCCCATGATATCATAGGAGCCAACTACCGAGGATTGGGTGTCTGGGGTATGACTCGTCCATGATATCATAGGAGCCAACTACCGAGGATTTGTCAGGAGTGTCAAGTATGGCATGATACTGTTGATTGTGGGTCATCATCCCCTGTGATTGTAGCTCATGATATCTGTCACTGGTTTTCTTGGTCCTGATTTAATTATTGAACGCCACATTCACAGTTGGAATATTGCTTACTGGAGCCTTTAATAACATGTACTCTCTCATCTCAACAGAAATACTCTGTCTTTATTGCCTGTGGAAATTTACTGCCGTAATCAATGCTGGAATCTTGTCCTTTCAACCAGTTATCAATCTTAAATCCTTAAAATAGTTGTAGTTAAAAGGTATATATTACCTGCAGTCAAATATTTCCTCATGATTGTGCATTTTTAGATGGTTATCCTTATTCCTTTCGTCATTGCCGTGGAAACTGTTTTCATGTCTGTAGCTCCATACAGTCGAAGGGTATGGTGTCTGTTTGTTGGAATTATGAATGAACAGTCCTCAAATCACGGGTGAAGTTTCTTGCTGACTTCTTCACACCTCCTACATTTCCCCATCATCTGCCATTTTTATCTGCCTCTTTATGTCATTAGGAAACCATTAGGTTTCTCCAAAAAATATATCTTGAGTAATTTTGGCATTTCTCAATTGATTGGTTTGAAAACGGGAAGAAAGTTTTTCAAATTTAGCTAACTGTACACAGTTAAGACGAACATCCCTTTTGGCGTTAAAGAATGACAATTTATTCCCAAGTGGATGTCAATTCATGTTGTGCTACTAGCTTGAGGGTTCTCATTGGCATTATCAGTGAAACTGGAAAATTGAAGATAATTCTTTTTCAGAAATGTTTAAACATTAATTTTGAACCTCTGTATTTGTAGAACATCTAAAAGTATCCTCGAATCATATGCAGATGTCTCCTGTTACTATTATCTAAGTGAAAAGTATTGTAACACATGTAACATGAAAGCAATAACAGAATATAATCATTTAAGTATTTGTAAAGAGATTTTAGATTCTTCAATGGTACTTGTAACAAACACACACTGTTCTGGTTCTGTGTTGTTCCAAGACCCGACTTTTTTTATCACCGTGTCCTTATTCTACAAGGCTGAATAAAAGTGTTTCTTTGGGGAATAATCTCACAAGTAAGACAAGTCGTATGACTTAAGAGTTAATTTGTTTATTGACAATAAATGTAATGATGAAGGAACATTGTGTTTTTCTCACCAAAAACACCAAGTTACACAACTGGGCGATATTGAACTTAGCTCTATAATACATTGTCAGTTGGGCAGAAAACAGCATCTGCTATATATGACACTAGAAACTGAAACATATTTTTAATGGTAGTATGACTGATTCCCAGGATTTGAAGTGACACTCGATCCTCAAAATATTTTTTTCAAATTTTAGCCTTTTCGGTGTTAGTCATACTGAAATGTTTATTTGTCTTATTTTTCAGCTGGAGCAAAGTTTCCACTTCCTAGACATTCAAGCAATAGAAAGCAGGAAGCCCAACCAGGTATGTATGTTGTAGTGGTGGTCCGATTAATTGAAATAATCGAAGATTGGTCGCAGTGACTAAACGACCAAGCAATCGATCATGTTTTCTCATAATCGAATATAAACAATTCTGGAACACTTTTTGCATTAACAATATTTTTCACAAGGTTGGTTTTGTAAGTTACATTTCATAACCACTACAAGCTTGTTCCAAGTCATGATTGAATTTATCTTAAAGACTCAAGGAATTTTATGTTCCTAACATACTAGTTAAGTAGTAATCCTTTCAAGATGTGAAATTTGCCACCAAAATAAACCCCCAAAGAACTACATGTTTTTTTCATTATGTTTTTTTTTTCATTAACAAAAAACAACAACAACAAAACAGGAAAATTTCATAAATGACGCTAACCAATTATTTTTCGATGATTGATCTGTTGTAATGAAGCAATCATCAATTATGAGGTTTTAACCAATTCCCAACACTAGTATGTTGTCAAGTGAATGTTTCTGGGATCAATGTCTACTATCTATATTCTGGAATTTTTGTTTAGACTGTTATAATAGCAAGGTTTTACATAGACTTTTTAAAATGGGAGTCATTGTGACTCACTCTAGATGCTGCTTTGGAGTTATTTTGTAAAGATGTGAGTCGTGAACATATTTCGTTAATAATTTTAAATATATCAAGGGCTGTGAAAGCATACTTTGTGATATTGTCCTCTGTTGTAAGTAATCAGATGTGGTTCATTATTATTGTATTCTTTGGGGGTTGGATTAAGGTACACATATGTGAAAAAAATATTGCGTCAGCTTTGACACATATGAACATATTTTGGGGTTATTATACTAAATTGTTGAGTCAAGTACGCAGGAATTACTCGCTATGTAAAACCATGTAATAGGTATTAGTACGTTTCATTGCCAATCTTTGCCTGGTACCAAAACACAAGTCTTAATATTCACAGATTTTATTGAGTTTGTGATGTAACCCTTTCCTACTCAGGGCCAAATGGGTGTTAATTTTTCGGTCACTCTTGGTACAATTTCTCTGTATGCAATATTAGGTTAAACAACCCAAATCTGTCAGGTTTTGTTTTTGTTTGTGTTATAATATGCACGGTATCAACTTATTCTATGATGTCTGAACAAAAATAACTAATATCTAGACTTTCACCTTTTATTATCTAGCCATAGTCATATCAGATAATGAAATGAATAGGCATTGGTACACGTGGACTGAATAGGGAATTGGATTGCCTGAAATGGGCATCAAATGGGTTGATTGAAGGATTGGGTGGCTGATGCAGGACATCAGATGACCTGAAGTAGATCACAGCTGTTCTCAAACGGGTTTGACTGACTGACTGAGTATAGTTTTACGCCGCTTTTAGCAATATTCCAGCAGTATCACGGTGGGGGACACCAGAAATGCAAACAGGTCTAGATAACCGGTATAACGATTTGTTCATTCCTGGATGTAGAGCTGCTGTAGCTCGTAACTACAGCATGATACATTACCGGAACTATGATACATTACCGGAACTATGATACATTACCGGAACTATGATACATTACCGGAAATATGTTACCAAATATAGGAGGACAATAGGACGTATAATCAGGGATCATTTTGAACCTTTTGATTAAAGATTCCTCTTTAGGTACCTGAAACCATAAAAATATTTTATTATCAATTGAATTATCAAATTATACATTTGTTGACTTCAGAATATAGTTAGCTACATGCATACGCATATATGGCTTTCTGTGCATGAAATAAATGAGAAAATTCCTTGATTTGATTATTTGATCCTTAAATCTTCTAAAGTTTGAGGGACTCACCAAAATTTCAAAAGGACTCATTACTTTTCAACAGAAAGAGTCCCAGGACTAACAAACTAAAAATTGTAGATTTATCACTGCCTCACGCTTGTCCCATACAAGCATTGAAATATGAAATGGCTTATTCAGAACAACATCAGGGGATGTTATGGCACATATTAATCCTAAATGGAGCAATACCGGGGACCTTTATCATGTTTATATTTCACTGATGACTCTGGAAGTAAAAACCACATGCTGATCCATTTCCATAGTCAGATATGGATAAAGAAAAATGTATGTACTTACATTCTATATCGTATCCTTCTATATCAGGTATACGTGGACACATATTCATTTTAACATTTAAAATAAGAAACTTAAATATGATATAAAATATCACTAGACATAATGATTTGCTATTTAAATTATATCTCCCTTTCTACTAGGCACTGCTATCATATGCAGAGAGTAAGATAACATAAATAAAGCGTCAGAGAGCATTCAGGTGTACATGTTTCTTCCAAAATCTACAGGTGATTTGATTATAACATATCCAGTAAAATACATTAATCACAACTTAACTTGCAATGATCGGGAGAATTATATGTGAAACTGTTACTTTAACCGTTAGTAGTGTATTCCAATAGTGCGTTAGTTTGATGAATATATTTACAATAATCTGGTGCATAGTGCTTCGGTAGAGCTGATCATTATTGTGTATTCTTTACAGATGGAAATATTTGACAAACTGCAACAAATGTTACATTCACTGAATCAGAGTATGACCTTTATGATAAGTGTATCCATTCTCTGTCAAAAGTTCATTTCACAGCATCATAGCATTAATCTGATCTTAGTTGCTGGAAATGGCAGTGAGTTTGTCTACTGCAGGCAACTTCATTCAACTTTCACTCAATTTATTGTAAACAATATTAAATGAAATAATGAATATAAGTAATGAAATAGACTAAAAACACAAGTCGGATATATACAATTTATGATCAGGCAGTGAAATCACATGGTTATATTGCTTATTTAGATTCAGGTTTGTTGACATGGTATTTCCGATGTTACCTGTCCATAGCAATGACTTTGTATTTATATACATGGAATGTTCTAGTAACAGTTAAGTTTCTCCGATTGCATGTTGCCCATGAAGATCTGGGCTAGAATTGGTCTTGGGTAACCCATGCTTGTCATAAGAGGCGACTACCGGGATCGGGTTGGTTGACACATGTTATTGTATCCCAACTGTGTATATCGATGCTCATGATGTTGATCACTGGATTGTCTGGTCCAGACTTGATTATTTATAGACCGCCGCCATATAGCTGGAATATTGCTGAGTGTGGCTTAAAACAACAAACCAACTAACAATTGATGTGATGTCCACCTCTGTAGCGTGGCATGCAATCAGCTCACTTGCTACTGATAGCGAATTGTCAAGTAAGCTGAAGAACTTAAAATAAGCATTGCCATCAGACAACAAATGGTTCAGGAAAAACTGGATGTATTCAATGCCTCAGATGTCATTTAAAAAAATTTCAATGGGTTGGTGCTCCTTACTGCCCCCCAATATCTTTTTGTTGGTTGGATCTCTATTGAGGCTGCTGTTCTTGGGCACAGGGCCCACTCCGATCAAACTCCATGCGGTTAGGCCCCTCTTCAGGTAAGTTGCAAAATGATCTCTGTGTCATTGTAGCTTCTGTTTTGCAGATGACGTTGACGGTGGAGGGGAAAGGTTACACGTTTGTTACTCTGGAACCAGACACGGAGGAGATAGATCACATGGTCACACACGTTGGGAAGTCGCTCAAGCAGATCTTCCCTTCATTTCCATTAGAGTAAGTACACACGGGATTGGCCATGTTGTCATTTCGCCTGATTGGCTTACAATGGGAAGGTGGATGGCCATCAAGAGTATTGATTGTTTCCTGGAAACATTACTCAACTGTGATATAACTTTGAATATATATTATCCCCCGCAACGCGTTTTGCGGGGGTATTAAAATGGACTCCGTGCGTGCGTGCGTCGTCCGTCCGTCCGTGCACTTTTGTCTTTTCCGGAGCTGAACTCTAAGGCCGTTCACTATTTCTTCACCAAACTTGGCACATACATAGATCTGGTGGTGTACTGGTGCCTTTTGATTGTTTTGGAATTCTGAATAAAATATTTTTGGCGTTTCCGTGGCAACAAGTTTGACTTAGCCTGAAATTGGTGGTTGTGCTCTTTTCCGGAGCGGGGCGGTGGGGTAGCCTAGTGGTTAAGGCGTTGGCTCGTGACGCCGAAGACCCGGGTTCGATTCCCCACATGGGCACAATGTGTTAAGCCCATTTCTGGTGTCCCGAACTTCCACCATTGGTCTTGATATTGCTTGAATATTGCTAAAAGCGGAACTCAAACTAAACTCAGTCAGTCAGTCTTTTCCGAGCTGAACTCTAAAACTGAATCCCTATTTCTTCAAGGCGAACTTGGCACATAGATGGTGGTCTGGTGGTGTACTTCACCAAACTTGGCACAATAGATGGGTCTGGTGGTGTACTGGTGCCTTTTGGTAGGTTTCGAATTCTGAATAAAATATTTTTGGCGTTTCCATGGCAACAAGTTTAACATAGACTGAAATTGGTGATAGTGCTCCTTTCTGGAGCAGAACTTTAAAAACCTTTCAATACTCTCCTTCCACTTTTCTATATACACACCTAAATATTTAACTCGTAGACATAATCATGAAGAGTATTTTGCCATTGCAGGGGATATTGATGACTTTGTCTTCTTGTTGACATTTTGATGATTTATGATTTATTGCGAGTCATTTTTAATGTTGAACGTATAACGTTATGCACAAGCACATAAACCCAATTCATGTACACTTATGTCGTTCAGATATCAGGCTGTATTTTCTTCGCTCACACTTTCCGTAAAGATGCCACATTAAAATATTTGTAGCACAGTTCTTTGATCGGTGCGTGATAAAAAGCGGACAAATTTACTGTTTTTAGCGCATAACAAACTTTGGACAACATTTAGCAGTGTCTATTTCTCAAACCGCCAAGGCAGTTGCACTTATATTTATACCAACGGATAGGAAATTTAATATTCTACATTTCTGTGTAATTTTATAGCCGTACGTAGATCCAGGACCACGTGAGCGCAATTCTCGCACAACGTTCACTTTTCAAACCGTATGAAAATGTGCACCTGAAAAAAAACTCGGCATCAAGGGGGTTAAAGGTTGAGTTTTATGTTCCCCAGAAATGCTTTCAACCCTATTGTATTTTTCACTATTAATTATTTTGACTTATTATGCTATTTCCTTGATCGTCAGCTTCCCTATAACAATGAAAGTCATATCACTTCTTGTCTCGTGTCTGTCAATGAACATTTCAGTTGCCACATGCAGTTGTGCGAGAATTTTGTTATGCTAGATTACAATACAGAGAGCTGTGCAGGAACTTCTGGGGGGAGTCCACTCCACATTACAGCATTATGTCACACCAAGGGGAAATTTATCCAGTCCTGCACTGAAAATAGAGAGAAAAATACTGATCACACTGTCAAATGTTATGAGTAAAAACAATGATGACAGTAATGTTGGAACTAATAACAATAATGCATCTTCCAAAAACATACAAAACACAATTTTATTGTGACACAGAGAATAGCATCCACTCTCGCAATAATTTAATATTACATACATTATATGGTCACAGGTGTCGTGATTTTTACACATTTTTCAAGCTGCATTTCATAATCAATACTAATTATCCCCCGCAACGCGTTTTGCGGGGGGTATTAAAATGGACTCCGTCCGTGCACATTTGTCTTTTCCGGAGCAGAACTCTAAAACGGTTCACTTTTTCTTCACCAAACTTGGCACATAGATAGATCTGGTGGTGTACTGGTGCCTTTTGATTGTTTTGGAATTCTGAATAAAATATTTTTGGCGTTTCCGTGGCAACAAGTTTGACTTAGCCTGAAATTGGTGGTTGTGCTCTTTTCCGGAGCGGGGCGGTGGGGTAGCCTAGTGGTTAAGGCGTTGGCTCGTGACGCCGAAGACCCGGGTTCGATTCCCCACATGGGCACAATGTGTTAAGCCCATTTCTGGTGTCCCCCGCCGTGATATTGCTTGAATATTGCTAAAAGCGGCGTCAAACTAAACTCAGTCAGTCAGTCTTTTCCGGAGCTGAACTCTAAAACCGTTCCCTATTTCTTCACCGAACTTGGCACATAGATTGGTCTGGTGGTGTACTGGTGCCTTTTGGTAGGTTTCGAATTCTGAATAAAATATTTTTGGCGTTTCCATGGCAACAAGTTTAACATAGACTGAAATTGGTGATAGTGCTCCTTTCTGGAGCAGAACTTTAAAAACCTTTCAATACTCTCCTTCCACTTTTCTATATACACACCTAAATATTTAACTCGTAGACATAATCATGAAGAGTATTTTGCCATTGCAGGGGATATTGATGACTTTGTCTTCTTGTTGACATTTTGATGATTTATGATTTATTGCGAGTCATTTTTAATGTTGAACGTATAACGTTATGCACAAGCACATAAACCCAATTCATGTACACTTATGTCGTTCAGATATCAGGCTGTATTTTCTTCGCTCACACTTTCCGTAAAGATGCCACATTAAAATATTTGTAGCACAGTTCTTTGATCGGTGCGTGATAAAAAGCGGACAAATTTACTGTTTTTAGCGCATAACAAACTTTGGACAACATTTAGCAGTGTCTATTTCTCAAACCGCCAAGGCAGTTGCACTTATATTTATACCAACGGATAGGAAATTTAATATTCTACATTTCTGTGTAATTTTATAGCCGTCATCGTAGATCCAGGACCACTTGAAAGCTAATTCTGCGCTACGCGTTTCACTTTTCAAACCGTATGAAAATGTGCACCTGAAAAAACTTCGGCATCAAGGGGTTAAAGGTTGAGTTTTATGTTCCCAGAAATGCTTTCAACCCTATTGTATTTTTTTCACTATTAATTATTTTGACTTATTATGCTATTTCCTTGATCGTCAGCTTCCCTATAACAATGAAAGTCATATCACTTCTTGTCTCGTGTCTGTCAATGAACATTTCAGTTGCCACATGCAGTTGTGCGAGAATTTTGTTATGCTAGATTACAATACAGAGAGCTGTGCAGGAACTTCTGGGGGGAGTCCACTCCACATTACAGCATTATGTCACACCAAGGGGAAATTTATCCAGTCCTGCACTGAAAATAGAGAGAAAAATACTGATCACACTGTCAAATGTTATGAGTAAAAACAATGATGACAGTAATGTTGGAACTAATAACAATAATGCATCTTCCAAAAACATACAAAACACAATTTTATTGTGACACAGAGAATAGCATCCACTCTCGCAATAATTTAATATTACATACATTATATGGTCACAGGTGTCGTGATTTTTACACATTTTTCAAGCTGCATTTCATAATCAATACTAATTATCCCCCGCAACGCGTTTTGCGGGGGGTATTAAAATGGACTCCGTCCGTGCACATTTGTCTTTTCCGGAGCAGAACTCTAAAACGGTTCACTTTTTCTTCACCAAACTTGGCACATAGATAGATCTGGTGGTGTTCTGGTGCCTTTTGGTAGTTTTGGAATTCTGAATAAAATATTTTTGGCATTTCCATGGCAACAAGTTTGACTTAGCCTGAAATTGGTGATAGTGCCCCTTTCTGGAGCAGAACTTTAAAAACCTTTCAATACTCTCCTTCCACTTTTCTATATACACACCTAAATATTTGACATACTCATAACTCGTAGACATATTCATGAAGAGTATTTTGCTATTGCAGGGGATATTGATGACTTTGTCTTCTTGTTCATATTAGTTTACATGGTGAAAGTCGGTGGGGTAGCCTAGTGATTTAACCGTTTGCTCACCACGCCAAAGACCTGGGTATGATTCCACACATGGGTACTTTGTGTGAAGCCTATTTCTGGTGTCCCCCACCATGATGTTGCTGGAATATTGCTAAAAGCAGTGTAAAACCAAACTCACTCACTCACTCACATGGTGGAGAATTTTCGATTCAGATGTTTTCATGATGGCTGTGGCAGTGTAGGAAAGATAGTCCGTCCCAACGTCCGAGACGGGTGAATTTTGTGGAGGACGGGTTAAAAAAATATGTAGTCTGTCCTCATGTCGGGTCAACTTTAGCAAACCAGTGACATACAGTGTATATATAATGTTTATAACCTTTTTGAATATTTACTGCTGAAGGTGTTTTATTTATATTTGGAGGACAGGCTAGATTTTGGCAGGACTGGTAAAAAATTTGACCTGCCAGTCCTGTGGACAGGCTAGATTTTCTACATCTTTCCTACACTGGCTATGGCAAGAATTTTGTGAAGACTGCTTTTAGATGTTACTCGCAATCAGAGAAAAATGGGTAATAGAAATATAGATTAAAAACAAGCAAAAAGAATTGAATAACAACCTCCTAATTGTAAACTTATTATTTTGGGAGTTTAAGGAGAATGATGTTTATACAAGAACAAAACAATTTGTAATAAATTTTAGTCTACAGAAACATAAAATGTCATTTGGAAACACACTCTCTGGATTAGCAGCAATGTTCTCTTTTACAGACGGTTAATAGTCAAACTAGAAGTGACACCTCCTGAAAGGTTGAAAACAATGTACGACATGATCAAAGAAATTGAAGGCAAAGAAGTGGGACCGTGTGGAGGCTATGCATCGATGTATGCCTGTATGTGTGACTACCATTCCTTACCCTACAGGGAGGAAGTGGCGTGGGTAAGTGTTATATTGAGTCTATAGTCCATGTACACCTGCATGTGTGACTACCACTCCTTACCCTACAGGGAGGAAGTGGCGTGGGTAAGTGTTATATTGTTCTATAGTCCATGTACACCTGCATGTGTGACTACCACTCCTTACCCTACAGGGAGGAAGTGGCGTGGGTAAGTGTTATATTGAGTCTATGGTCCATGTACACCTGCATATGTGACTACCATTCCGTACCCTACAGGGAGGAAGTGGCGTGGGTAAGTGTTATATTGTTCTATAGTCCATGTACACCTGCATGTGGCTACCATTCCTTACCCTACAGGGAGGAAGTGGCGTGGGTAAGTGTTACATTGAGTCTGTGGTCCATGTACACCTGCATGTGTGGCTACCATTCCTTACCCTACAGGGAGGAAGTGGCGTGGGTAAGTGTTATATTGTTCTATAGTCCATGTACACCTGCATGTGTGACTACCATTCCGTACCCTACAGGGAGGAAGTGGCATGGGTAAGTGTTACATTGAGTCTGTGGTCCATGTACACCTGCATGTGTGGCTACCATTCCTTACCCTACAGGGAGGAAGTGGCGTGGGTAAGTGTTATATTGAGTCTATGGTCCATGTACACCTGCATATGTGACTACCATTCCGTACCCTACAGGGAGGAAGTGGCGTGGGTAAGTGTTATATTGTTCTATAGTCCATGTACACCTGTATGTGTGACTACCACTCCTTACCCTACAGGGAGGAAGTGGCGTGGGTAAGTGGTCCTATTTTTTATGGACACTAGCAGTACAAGCACACAGACTTTATTATTCACTCAAACCTTTTCATTCAATTATGTAAAATAAATACATGATTAAGGTATTATTTATTTATGTTTCAGGATGTAGATACCATATACCTATCTCAGGACTCCAGGGAGCTGTGCTTGCGAGATTTTGACCATTTAAATGGAAAGTAAGTCAGTTTGACTTTTGCACTTTCTGAAGAATACCCCCTAGAAATAATGAATAGTGTCATTGAGGACATGATTCAACTGTATGATATTCCACAGGACATTACTCATTAATAATCACTTAATGAATAAGGCTGCCATGACATAGCTTAAACATGCTGACTGCGAAACAAACAAATCCTGTGAAAGTTTCTGTAGCGTGAGGTCCAGAATCTACAGAGTTGTCTCCCCTGGTCTGATAATGGACACAGATCTCTGAGTCTCCCTTGGCCTTGTTTTGCAGCATCATATCCTATCATATCCCTTCTGGAGGATGAAGTAGTAAATGTCTGCTGTCCTCCAATATCATCTGTCATGCTGGGATATAACTGAAATACTGAACACATGGTCAGACAAGTAAACTTACCCACTTTGGTGGACACAGATCCGTAATTCATGGTCTTATCTGATATATTTGGTCGAACTGATGTGGATATTTTTGTGTTTCAGGGACCTGGTGCCAATCATATCGGCTCTCGAGCATAATTGCTGGTTTACTAAATTAAATGCAAACAATGTCAAACTGGTAAGTAGAACATTTCACAAGTAATATCTCAATAATTTTCTCCATAGAATCTACATCACTTCATAATGCAGTTTTTAGCCACAGAGTTGTATCGGGGCACGATTTCATGTTTTTTTTCACCAATTGCTCCAGGTGCAACCAAGTGAATCAATCAGATTGCACCATCAAAATATTGTTACCTACACGCAGTGCAACTTGACAATTAACAGCTTGCCCGGATTTTTAGGGGAGCGTAAGCAACTCTGGCATTTTACACACCACACTCATTTATGACCCTGTTTGGTCATTAGTTTTGTGAGCAAAACAAATGCTAATGGTTTATTCTTCTGCCTTATTTTAGCCATTGGTTTTAAGTGAAGTAATCATATTCTTGTTCTGTTTTACTGTCTTTTTCGTTAGATTTGTCAGTCTGTGTAAAATGGTTATATTGCTGTTGCAGACATCCGAAGCTGCCAATGAGATTTTACAAGTGATGAAGCGTAATTCTGTGATAGAGGAATTGGGACTCTGCAATACAGGAATCAAAATGTAAGTTACTAATCCTCCCTTGGTGTGGTGGGCTGAGTGGTTGAAGTGTTTGATGGTCATGCTGAAGGCATGGGTTCAATCCCAAACATGGGTACAGTGTGTGAAGCCCTTTTGAGGCCCTGCCTTTATATGTGATGTTGCTAGGATTTATAGAATGAAGATTTGTTTTAGTAGGAGGCAGTCTGGATACAGGTTTGGGTGACTTTTGACAGAACATTTCGGGCTGACATCCAGGGGGAGTAATCCAGTGGGTAAAGGAGTAGCTTGTTATGCCGATGGCAGGGCTTTGTAGATACAAAGTGTGGAACCTATTTCTAGTATCCCAGCTGTCATACCTGTGAAGATCTGGGTTAGAATTGGTCTTCAGTAACCCATGCTTGTTGTAACAGGTGACTAACGAGATCAGGTGGTCAGGCTCACTGACTTGGTTGACACATGTAATTGTATCCCAAATGCTTAGATTGATGTTCATGCTGTTGATCACTGGATTGTCTGGTCCTGACTCGATTATTTACAGACTGCCGCCATATAGCTTGAATATTGCTGAGTGTGGCGTAAAACAACAAACCAAACCAAACCTAGCTGTCATGTTTCTGAAGTGGCGTATGACACACTAGCACCCACACGATGCTGACATGTCATAATGCTCATAGTAACACCCACTTGAGAGTTCACCCTATCTCACCCTTTACAACTGGTCGGCAAATTGATTCCTGATACTTTCATTCTGACAGTCATTGTGTATCTACGTTTATGCAACAGAAATACCTGAGATAGTAAAAATTGTTTATTTGTATAACTTTGTCTGATTTCAGAGATTTTATACAGAAACTGTCAACTGCCTTATTGTCTAACAGTGGTACCCAGCTGTGTCGAGTCGACCTGTCAAATAACTTCCTAGAAGATAGAGGTACATTCTTATTATTTCATGAACAGCGAGGAGAGGTCTATGGATATACAGGCATCCCTCGCCATAACGCGGGTCTTGGGGTCCATGGATGACCCCCCGCGTTATTAGACACCCGCGTTATAAGTAACGATTAGATAACGCGGAACAAAGGCCAAGTAAAATCGTATTTTCCATGGACATAACAAAACTGCTATTTCGTGTATTGTGCCCAGTCAAAACTATATCGTATTGTTGGAGGTGAAAAAAAACAAAACTTTGTAAATAAAAAAAAGATGTATGTACATGAAACTTGCAATCAAACATCACAAGACATGATAATTCAATTGTTGTTCCTGTCACGCTACCTGTTATTCAACTAAGCCTGAAATAGCAATCAGCTGAGCACACATCGATGTTTTGGTCCAATGTACCGGTGAATCATTTAAAAACGATCCGAAAATATAACATCCAAGAATTTCTATTCCATTATCAGAATAATTGATATATCAAGCAGTTATTCTAACAGAGATCTTATATATTGCTATCGTATAAGTATAATGCATGTTTTCTACGAACATATTTAACATAATGATAAGCATTGCTAAGCACTTTGGGTTACCTGGCTGGATACATTTTATGTAGGAGACAGTTTGACAAGTCACCGCTGACTTCCCGCGGTACGTGCCACTTTGATTGTAAAAACAAAATGTTGGCAATTAATTGTCAAATATGACTTCAACGAGTCAATAACGCGGGTCTTGGGGTCAATGGATGACAAGGCTGTAATCTGTTCGTGATTGCTGAGAAAAATGTGAAATTGGTGCTCTCGCAGTAGGCGCGAAAAACGGACCCTCACGAATGTGGTAAGCGGGTGTTGTATGGAATGAGGTAATGCCATTTTTCTCCGTTGTTATTGTAAACAGTTTTAATGAATGAAAATGGGATTGAATTTAATCAAATAAAATGTGTTTTCTGACATCATACATTCTCGGATGGCGGTGTATACCCGTGCAATTACGCGGTGTGTTGCATCATAGCAAACGTTGTAAGTACTCGGCTGATAATCATGTCTTTATGATACAGTTATTATGATGTTTCGCTGTTCATCAATTATTATTGAAAAAGACGCTGCATGTTTTAAGCATCTGAAAAAACATGGATATATATGATAAACACTGTTAATTGCAATCCGCACTGAATTTCACTAGTTTACTACGTGATTAACCAGAGCTCAAGAGCGGATTTGTTGATGTGCTATTTTTGATGACGTGAATATGTGTGATCACTGGGCAACTTTTTTTATGGGAGCCACGGATTACCCCGCGGTTTAACCGAATCCGCGGTATTGCTAAGAGCGTTATTGCGAGGGATGACTGTGCAACTTCTCTAGTATAATATGAGTGATGTTTCGGTGTAGCTACTAACACCGATATCAAGCAAGAGATCAGTTGCTTGATAACGGTGATAGTAGATACACCGAAACATCACTCATATTATATTACAGAAGTTGAATATCCATGGAACTCTCCTCGTTCATCACACCAACTTCTAGATGCCACTCAAAGAAGTTAACTTGTTTCATCTCTGTTAGTCTTAGATGTCCTGAATCTGTCTGTATCCTCACCAACAGTGGGGTAGCCTAGTGGTTAAAGCGTTTTCTCGTTATGCCGAAGACCCGGGTTCGATTCCCCTTGCTGGTACAATGTGTGAATCCCATTTCTGGTGTTCCCTGCCATGATATTGCTTGAATATTGCTAATAGCGGCGTAAAACCATACTTGCACTAGCACTCACCAACGGTGGACATTCGGGTCTCAAGCAACATTAGCTAATAGGATATTTGTCATGAGAGGCGACTTACAAGATAGGTCGGGCAGGCTTGGTGACTTTGATTTGTCCTCACTGTGTAGATCGATGCTCATGATGTCAGTCACTGGTCAGGTGGTTGGAATATACCTGAATGCGATGTTAAACAACAAACAAAGATATCATATTCCCACAACTTCCATGTCACGTATCAGTTACTTAGTCACACATGAGTGAAGTTTGTTTCCATGGTTATCTATAGTGTTATGTTATTTACACGGGATCATAGAGAATGGATGTACATGGGATAACTCAGGAATGTAACATTGTAACTATGGAATTCAGTTTCTTCTGAACCGTGGGAACATGGGTGGTGCAGTAGGTTCATGTGGGTTTCAGTCACAAACTACATGCCTTGGTGGGTTTCATTCCCAGACTTGCACTGAAAAATATCCTCTATCAGCCAGCACCCTTTTCAAACTGTTGATGGCTGTCTGGTTTGTCTCCCAGAGTGATATTATTGAAATATTGTTGAAATTAGCAATAAACCCTAGACACTCGCTTACAGACCTGGTGAAAAAATATATGTTGCCTTGTTTAATTTTGATGCAAATGTGTTAGAAAGACTTTTGAAAATATTACATATAATTTAAGTATCAAATGAAAAAATCAGCTTACCTTCTCTTGTTCGTGTCTGAGAATAATTTGATGAGGAAAGTTATGGGATATACAAACTGGCAAAAGGTATAATGATATCTGTATGAGCCAATAGTGAGGCCAGCTTATGACGAACTCTTGCTCCAGGTGTGCATCACCTGATGGGCTCGTTAAGTAACCAGGCCAAGGGGCTGGTGTACCTGGATGTCTCCAAGACAGGGATGACAACGAAAGGCCTTAACAGGATAGCTGATACGATGGGGGGAAGTGCCTGTATCCCAAACACCCTCCGGACCCTCAAGCTGGCTGAGAATGGACAAAAGGGAGAAGATCTAACGGTAAGAATGGAGCACCTTGTGACATCAGGGTATTTTGAATTTTCATCTTGTCTTAAAGTTAATATATGACATGAGGGCTTGTCCATTACCTGTGAGTTTTAGCTCACCTGATTGTGATGACCCCTTAATTTGTTTAAGTACTTCTGATTGACCCATACTTTTCATACTACCCCCCACATCACAGGGACAGATGAAAATATTATCAATTCTTTAACTATTAAGAAAATGAGACTAGCAATTATTAAAACTCAACACACCATATTGATCAGTCTTAATTCTGCAATTCAATGCAAGTTGTCAGGAACCATGACTATTTGTTTGTTTTTTTTGTTTTCAGCAAGTTTTCAACTTTCTGGCCCATCCGAATGGCCTGACTCACCTTGATCTATCCCACACCGACTGTACCCTTGATATGGTAGGTGCTGGGTGAGTGAGTGTGTTGGGTTTCGTGTCACTTTGAACAGTATAACTGTTATATCACAGCATCTCTGCCTGATATGTGAAGAAAGCCAGTAGCCCAGTGTACTTTGGTGGAACCAACAAGCATGGTTATGGAGTTGATATAATTTGGGGTGAATCTTTGATTTGAAGCTGTGCTTTGATCTTGAAATGCCTAAGGGATTCAACACAGTGAAACAACTTCATTGTTCCACCAGGGACCTCAGTATGTTGTTAATCTTGGAACATGGTTCAAGCCTATGTGTATAATTGAGATTTAACTGGAGTTACCTCCCATACGTTTCAGTCACAGTGGATTAACAGGAATCATGCTTGTGGATAGGTCATCTCTGTTGGTTGTTGTGTGTGTTCATACGTCATGTTCTGTTAGAAACACTCGACATAAAATCTTTATTTAAAACCTGATTGGGATTGACATATTTTGACGTGGTGATGAGTTGATCAGCTGGATATTTATCATGAATTACTGTGAAAAAGTTAATGTTTTGTGATGATTATCAACAGAATAGCATGGTATCAGGAGCCATCAAGTAGTGTTGGGAATTGGTTAAAATCTCATAATTGATGATTGGTTCATTACAACCGATCAATCAATCGAAAATAATTGGTTAGTGTCATTTATGAAATTTTCCTGTTTGCACAAAAACATAAAGAAAAAAATTGTAGTTCTTTGGTTGTTTTTTCCACAAATTACACATCTTTAAAGGATGACTAGTATGTTAGGAACATAAATTTCTTGGGGTCTTTAAGATAAATTCAATAATGACTTGGACCGAGCTTGTAGTGCTCATGAAATGTAACAGACAAAACCAACCTTGTGAAAAAAATTGTTAATGCAAAAAGTGTTCCAGAATTGTTTGTATTCGATTATGAGAAAACATGATCGATTGCTTGGTCGTTTAGTCACTGCGACCAATCTTCGATTATTTCAATTAATCGGACCACCACTACCATCAAGTGATCGTAGATTCTGAAAGCTTAAATAAAACATTATCAATCTTTCAGTTTTTTAACTAGCTCCAATCAAAATATCTCAAACCAGAAGTTGTATTAATTTGATGCAAGTTGTATTACTGGTTATTTGTATAAAAATAACCCAACATCCATATTCTGAGAACAGAATTTTCTTTAGGACCTATTTAACAATCACATACTCCAAATATGTTTGATGGTTTTTGGTGTTTCTTGTGGTTGGCCAGCACTCATCAGTGGTGTTTGAACCACTGTGAAGTTTTCTGTCACTGGTCTGTGTGTTACAATTAACAAACTTCTCTAAATGTACATTTATCTGGGGATCACAAAACAGCAAATGTCATGTTTTCCCATAACTGTTGATTCGTTTGTATTCCAGTTGTTCGGAGCCCTGCAGCGAGGATGCTGCACGAGTTTGATCTACCTGAATGTCTCTCACGTGACCTTCACCCACAAGAAGATGAAGGATGTCCAGGTTCCGACCAGCCTCAAGCAGTTCTTTGCTACAGCGTGTATGCTGGAGCACGTCAACCTGTCCAGTACAAAACTTCCCCCAGAAGCAGTCAAGTGAGTTGATATCGGCCAGGTTCCGCATCTCACTGAGTTGGATGATCCCATCCCTTGCAATGAAAATAAAAAACAGTTGTGACTATTGGACTGTCGGTTTATAAAAATGTTGTGTAAGGTCCGAGGAAATGGTGTCGATCTTGTGTCGAATTAACAGCATTACTTTAAGCACAGGATGGAAATGAAAATTACATGACTTATTGGGACTGCGAGGCAAACAAACTATGTGGATGATTTGTCACTAATGAAGCCATTTTGTGTGGGGATTGTCAATGTACTGTATATCTCTCCTCTTTATGTTCTTTTGTTTATACGAGGAGCCTTCTTTACTGAATCTGCAGTAAACATCAGTAAATATCAGTGTATTTCAACCTTCACCAGCTTGATTGTCAGCAGTTCAGATATTGATCAATTGGCAAAGTGTCATCCTGCCATCCATGTCTCTGGATGCATGCTGATGTTCAGCTTCCTTATGGCATCCATTAAGTACACCTTTTCACTTCACTTCAATTCACAATATTTTCATGTTTCATTTAATTGTTATTTCTCTCTGCTATTTGAGAATGTTGCGTTTTGATTTTCAGAGAGTTGCTGCTTGGAATATCCTGTAATAGACACATACACAACCTTCACCTTGACCTCAGCAGCAATGACCTTCAAGGGCAGGGAACACATAACATTGCGGGTTGCATCAGTGAGATTAAAAACCTCGCCAGTCTGGACATCAGCAACAATGGTGAGCTACAGGCAGGAGAATAAAATACCACCCCTTGTCATATAGACTTCAACATTTTTGGGGTTGAAATGAGAGCCTAGAAATATAGCCTGGAAATGAGAGTACTGTAATAATTGCTGGGAGTCAGCTTCAGTTTGTGCCTGCCACGAATAGCTGCAAAATGGCTGATGTGGCGTAAAACATTTTCACTCACTCACTCACTCAGTTTGTGCCTGGCGGAAAGCAACATCCAGCCAATTTAAACACTGGCCATTTAATTACAGCTAAGTCTCTAATGAGATCTGAGTCTCCAGAAAGTGCAACGTTTCCAAGAAGTGCCAGATTTTCTTTAAGCTGGCTGAAGATTAAGTGCTATAGTAGTCTGTGCAAGTTTACCACCGTTGTATCATCACATAAGTTATGACATAAGAGATACAATTTACATGTTGTTTTCCATGGGTGATATTAGTGTGAAATCCATGGTTGTGATGTGATTTCAGGGTTTGATTCCGACCTCAAGTTGCTGTTACCAGATATAGCCAAATGTCAGTCACTGAGGCACCTGGCAATAGGACGAAACTTCCAGGGAGTCAAACCAAAGTAAGTTGAAGTTGATTTGATGAATGTTGTGCTCTGTATGATTTGGGTGACCTCCATGGTCTTTGGACCACTTTCATGGCCTAGTGGATCGCTTCCATGGTCCAGTGTACCAGCTACACGGTCTAGTGGATAGAACATATGCTCAGTGACCACTTCCTTGGTCTAGTAAATGGAGGGTCTGCCGAAGAGCAGATGGTTGGATGGTACTTGTTGTTTACCTGCCTGGCACTTGACATCAGGGAGATAACACCTCACCACACGTTTCATTTGATTGTGGGCTTGATGAACTTGGGTAGATCTGAGATGTGTGCAGATGTCTTTGGTTGCCTTTGTACCCTCCCCTTCTCAAAATTCTATAATCACCTGTGAATGAAGACCTGTGGTGCCTGTGATCATGACTATCTGCAAATTTATCCAACAGTTACAGTGTTTGACCTAGCTGATAGTGTGTCATCATCTTCGTACATCATTGTGTTTGCGGGGCGGTGGGGTAGCCTAGTGGTTAAAGCGTTGGCTCGTCACGCCGAAGACCCTGGTTCGAATCCTCACATGGGTACAATGTGTGCAGCCCATTTCTGGTGTCCCCCCGCCGTGATGTTGCTGGAATATTGCTAAAAGCAGCGTAAAACCAAAACTCAGTTAGTCATTGCGTTTGCTGGTAACCACTGACTGGTCCACACTTTCTGTAGCCATTGTGACTATAAGCTACTATATACGGTAACACTGCAGCATGCAGCATCATTAGCTCACTCACAGAGGTTGTCCCAGTTGTCTTATTTGAAATACTTACTGCATGTCAGTGATTAGAGATGACAATATTTATATCTTGCTGTTGTATGAAATGCCTCACGTCTTGTTCATCCCCAGGAACATGTTGTCAGTCCTTGACCCTGTGGTGCAGCTTATTCAAGAAGAGGAAAGTGTGAGTAGAGCAGACGCTTACATTACTTCATTGCTTTTTTTGTGGACTATTTTTTCTTATTTTTAAGAGTAATCAAAATTAATTGGTCTTGCTATTCTTCAGATTGTTATTTCATTCTCCGTCTATCAAGGCTATTTCAACACTTAAGAATGTGGAACATGGTATCTGTGAATTCCTGTAAAACCATATGTCTAAATCTTCAGTCTCATCTCAAGTTGGCTATGAAAGACCAACAATCAGTAGTGACCTATTATTTTAGTCAGCTTCTGATTGGTTTGCTGTTGTCTTATGTTAACATGGCTACATGCTCACCTCCTGCATGCAAAATACTCCTGTTGGAAGACTCTAAATCATCATAATCATCACCATTATTATTGTTACAGTCTCTGGAGTCTTTGTCCCTGGCGGACTCTCGTCTAAAGGCGGACACAGCCTACGTCATCAACGCCCTTGGCAGCAACACCTCACTCATCACCATCGACCTCAGGTACACACACCTGTTCCTGGGGATGTGGATGCATTTAGTGGAATTTGTATTAACCGTTGTAGAGTACTTAACAACATATGCTTTGAAAAACTTTTAGGGTTTTAGATGCATCCACCTTGAAGCATTTGTTTTATTCATTGATAGTGAGTGAGTGAGTTTATTTTTACGTCACTTTTAGCAATGTTCCAGCAATATCATGGCGGGGTACACCGGAAATGGGCTTCACACGTTGTACCCATGTGGGGAATCGAACCCGGGTCTTCGGCATGACTAGAGAACACTTTAACCACGAAGCTACCCTGACGCCCCTTGATATTGTTAAGATCTGTAATAAAAATGTATAGATAGCCTCTAAATATATGAGCTGCAATGCTGTTGATGTAATCCTGACACTTACCCCAATAGTGAAGTGTCGCTATGATGTGTGATAACATGAAACTATACATGAAACCATGGATTAGATCACCAACCACAACATGCTTCATTTGTCAGTTGAATTAACAATTACCGCTTGTATATCATGTAAGAACGAGAGTGCTATGTGTATGGATGTAGTGAAGTGCACAGGATTATTAACTAAATCTATTATACCATGAGACTGAAGGTTGATGGTGTACAAGGACGTTCAGGGTGCAGATTGGAGAAGCTTGTAGAAGTGACATTTTCTTGGTGTGCTGAAGGTTCATGGTAGTCCTTCACCTGCATGCGTTGATGTTATTCTGTTTCAGTGGAAATATAATGGGGGACATCGGGGCGAGGATGTTGGCGAAGGCCCTGCAGATCAACACCAAACTCCGCACCATCCTCTGGGACAAGAACGGTACCACAGCTCAGGGATTTGAAGACATTGCTGAAGCTCTGGAGAAGTAAGTGTCTGAGGGAGTGAGTGGGTGAGTATGGTTTTACGCCGCTTTTAGCAATATTCCAGGAATATCATGACGGAGGACACCAGAAATGGGCTTCACACATTTTACCCATGTGGGGAATTGAACCCAGGTCTTCGGTGTGATGAGCTAACGCTTAACCACTAGGCTACCCCAACGCCCCAGTTGTCTGAGATACAAGGAAATAGGTCATCAATAGTGGCCCAATAGAGTGTGCTCTGTGCAAGGCCTGAGTTTGAATGATTTTATGGGTTACTGTTTTCTGACAAGTAAAGAGATAAGTCAAGGCCTTCAATGTCAATCCCCTAAGTTAATAATCACACATAGTTTCAAATTTTAAAACAAAGATAACCTGACCGATGAAGTTCACTATGTCTTCTAGGATCCCAAAATGCTACACCGGAGGCTAAAATGTCAATTATGACATAAGGTAGCCATAATTCGGAATGTTGAAATGAAACACTTATGTAATTAATTGTCCTGTTATGTATTTGATACTTCGTAACCCAGATAGAATTTGGTATCTTTTGTCCAACACTTCATTTACTTCACCTCTCTAAAAGTTCCAGGACTGACTTCTATCTTCACTTCCAGGAACTTCTCATTACACAAGATGCCGTTCCCTGTGAACGATGCCTCTGTCACCATGAAGACGCAGCCCGAGAAGACAGAGACTGCTTTGCAGAAAGTGAGTCTGTAGCCTGGGCCTAGATTTTCAAAGCTCTCTTATCGCTAAGATAGTCAGTCGTAAGTTAATGTTAATGTATGGCACTTACGACTATCTTATCGCTAAGAGAGCTTCGGAAAATCTAGGCCCTGTACTCTTGTAATGTGAAATCAAGCTATGTTTCAGCAAAATGACATAAAACATTGGTGTTTGTTGACAGGTTGCCAAAGATGATAAAGTAATAATTACCTCATTATGGACTAACCGTGAGGCAGAATTGTACCAAAATGTTATCTGGTGTAATGATCTTAGATTTCAGATGCATAATCATTGTGATCACTGTGTATGATCTTGTAGAGTGTGTAATTAGTCTGGACTGGAACATGGGATTACTCCTAATGTGATTGTTTCCAGATTGAGTCCCTGCTCCAGAGGAACCACAGCCCCGAGGAAGTGTGCATCGGACCAGCTGTACCGCCTGCAGCAGGGCTTCCTCATCAGCTCCACACAGCAGGTAGGGCTGGGGTCTTGTCTCATCTCACTAGTTTGGTGATGCTATACTTGATACTTGACACCTGTGTAGATCTGGAACCTTGAGCTTGTACAACCTCACTAGTTCGGTGATATTATACTAGGTACTTGACACTTGTGTAGGGCTGTAGGACTAGAAATATGTTGTCCTCAAATCATACATATTTCAATAGAGAAGTCATACAATACTAAAAACTTGATTCCATATTCCATCAAACTGTAAGTTAAATAAGAGCATCTTGCGAGCTAACATATATTATGTTTCGGAAGAGCTTTTCAAAATATGTTATCAAACCATTTAACTTTTTGACTTGTATGAATGGGAGAAAAGAATGTATTCATTTTCAAAGCCTGCTTTTCCATGATACAAGAAAATGAATAAAATAGAGTTTTGTACATTGACAAAGAATTTTAGAATATATATGTTAATCAAGCATTACAAAGAGTCGTCAGTATGCACTGTTGCCACTGCAGATGGTCGACAGACTGGTCGTCCAAGTTCAGGACACTGTGAACGCCCTCAGCTACAGCCCCAGTGAACACTTCAAGGAAGACATTGAACTGGCAGGACGTGTAGTCAAGGATGCTGACAACTCAAAACAGGTGCAGTACAGGCTGCTTGACAGTAAGACTAAAACATGGTCGACTCGTCCACTCTGGACTGACACTCCAGAGTTGTATTGATAGTTTATTTCGGTGTTCCATTAACTGGAGATCCATGCAGATATGGGTTAGAACTTGTGATCAGTGACCCATACTTGTTGTAAGAGGTGACTAACAGGATTGGGTGGTCATGTCTACTGACTTGGTTGACACATGTCATCGTAACAGTTGTGGAGATTGATGCTCATGATGTTAATCAACAGATTGTCTGGTCCAGGCTTGATTATTGACAGACCCCCATCATACAGCAGGAAACTTACTGAGTTTGGCGTAATCAGGGGTGGAAATAACCCATTGCCCGACGTCCGAGTCCAGTGTTTTTTTCTGTCGGGCAAGCAAATTTGTATATCACACTGTACCGGTGTCCAGTTCACTTTCCAATGTTAATAATGATATTTATTTAAGAAATCAACAAGAAAACGTCCGGTATAGTGGAAATATATTTTTCCTTATCCTGACTCATGCTCTTTTGCTTGTCTTCTTCTTCTTGCGAACTTAGTGGAAACACTTGTATCTCCCTAATTGAAGCTCCCTTCAATGTAAAATCACTAATTAGTACTCACCACGAGTTACCCCCTTTCCACAAGCGCGGGAAACGAGGGCGCCACCTTCACCCATGTGCCTCACTCTCTCCTTCTTCGCCCAGTGAGCTGGACTTGAGAGCGTTTGTGTCTCCCGACACTATATCCTTTGATTTATATTTAGTTAGTTACCTCGTATAGACATCTATAGAGGTTTAGCTAGTATCCTTCAACCATTATATATTGATATTTAGTCGCTTTTCTACAGTTTATTCACGGACTGCGGTTTGTTTCAGTGGATTACGTTGATGAAAATTTTGTACTATTGCAGATTACGGTTTTATTCTGCTGCTGATCCGCTTTTAATATGCCTTAGTTGTACTCGCGCCATGTTCATTTTATTCACATTGCAGTTGCGGTACTAATTTATCCAATTCTACCTTTTATTAATATTTACTTTGGCGCTTTGAGACGCTGCAGCAGATAGGTCGCGCGATGCAGAGTCTAGTATGACTGATACACCTGAACCCCTCGCCAGTCTACTGCTGTTGGTCGACCCCTCCCCCCGTGGTGTTCCGCTAGAGTGGTGGAGAGGCGCGGGACGAAGTCCGCCATCTCCAAGAAGCGTCCTGCTTCCCCAGACATCCCATCGTCGCAGCCGTAGACTAGAGGTTTTCTACTACATCTCTACAGCCGGATTTGGGCCTGTATGATGATCAGCCGATCATCATACCTGATGTACATCAAAAGAATGACCGATGTCGGCAACAGTGATGTCAGCGCAGATCAGCATGCAGCCTGATGTACCAACGCTGATATTCGATGATCTTCCTGAGGGTCCCATCGCTACCAACACTCAACGCAGACGTCGCACACCGAGGGCAGCGTTGACATCTGAGGGGAAATCAACGAAGTCTACTAGGACTTTCTCAACCGAGATTGTTCCAGCCGCAGACCTGGACGTCTACGATGGTCAGCCGATCATCATCCCCGACATACGCCACAAGAAGCGACCGGTGACAGCTACAATGACATCAGCAGAGATCACCATGCAGCCTGATGCCTCTACACTGATGTCGGACGATATTCCTGTGGACCCCTCCATTAACACCGCAGATAAGGCACCGACGACCTCGTCGCAGTCCATCCCTGAGGACCTGATGCGCAAATTATGACCATGATGGAGGATCGCTACAGACTGCAGAAGCAGGGACCGAGCCTTCGCTGAAGGCTCCAACGTAGACAGCACCCCAGAGGCACCCCCGCCAACGAAAGCAACCAGGACGATGTCACCTTCGCTGAAGGAAGTCACGGACCACCTTGACGAGGGACCTAGATGTACAGCCTTCGCGAAGGCCTTCGCGAAGGCGGAATAGATCATCACCTTCTTCGGTTTCATCCCTAGATGTGGACTCGGACCATCAGACATCACGGAAGCCTTCGCGAAGGTCATATCGTCGTTCCCCCGGACCGGACGCAGAGGAAGCTTCGCGAACGCATTCGCGAAGGACACCTGAATCCAGATCATCATCATCTAGAAGGACATCGAGGGACTACACAAGAGCTTCGCGAAGCTATCAACGTTCTCCTCACAAGTCTCCGAGAAAATCAACCCATAGACAAGTTGATCATCAATATCAACAATAAGAACTACAATCGTAAATTGGTTCAGTTGAATCCATGACGAGACGTATGTTCTTGGCCTAAATAGATCTAGAACGATCAATGAGACACTTATCACCAGACTTCGTAACACGACTTCTGAAGATAAGATGATCCACTCGGCCCTACTTATGCAGAACCAGCAAGTCCCAGGCCGCCTCCGCAAAGGAGCTAGAGCCTCACCAGCTACAAGGGACATCGCGGAGGAGTAGCGCTTCGCCGACCCCGCATCCTGTTAAACACAGAGGCCGTTCGCGAAGCAAGCGTTCATATATATATATATATATATACTAATCGGGGTTTGACTCGATACCTTCGCGAAGGTCGCGAAGGCTAAGTGGCTCCAAGTCTACTTCACCCAGAAGGGATACTTCGAGAGCTTCGCGAAGTCTCCAGAGTTCACCGAGGAAGTCTCCTCCAAGGTCTCCATATACTAGCCACTCGTCATATATAGCTACTCGTCAGTCCGTTCAAGACATCGCATAAGTTGTCTATCAACTGTATGCCAGATGCCATCTATAAGCCTACGCGAAGACAATTGCACAGGCTATTTACAACACAGAACATCGCTGTATTAATTAGTCAACGACGTTTCATAGATCTTCACAGAAATCAACTGTTCCGTATAGATGGCTAGAATATGCAATCCCGACGACGACGATACGATTATCTACATGCGACCATTACGCATATCTGCAGACAATTCAATATTGAAATTGAACAGCAGCCTTGTTACAGCCAGTATAACTCATAATCGCCAACTTTTCTGAGAAGAAATATGTACAACAAGTTCAGCTTTAATTCTACAATTATGACGATACATTCATGTATACAGTCTACAAGCTGACAACTTGCAAGGTTATTGTACCTTTATATAAGGAAGTCGGAATTAGATTCAAACTGAAGTTACTTTCACGACAGCCAGGAAAATAACCTACCCAGCATTAATATTACAGAGCGAGGTATTTCGCTACCGGTTTCAAGGCGTGCTACCATTAACCCTCTCAAACACGTGGTCACTCGGGTAACTTCGAAGCTACGGTGAAGACCGACGATTATGCTAATATCAACGACGGCAAGATTTTATACAAGGTTTTTCCTACTACACCGTGACATCACAGCTGGTATTCTACAGAATCAAAATGCCTTGTTCTGATTGGACCGCTGATGGACAACGCACCCACGCAGAGGTCGATCTTAATTCACAGTTCAAGACTTACGCCACAAGTGACAACTATATATCAGTGAACGAAAGCAAGCCTCCTTACAGTCCAGTTAACCTGAACCTTCATGATTGGGCTGCTTTCTTCAGGTTAGAGGCCTCCCTGTCAAGTTAGGACGAGAGCACGGCAGTCAGGCTTAATTTACATAAAGTTCAACGAGGACAGACACACCTGGTTGTGCACCTACATCGCCAAGAACCTCGCAGCTTAATTACCTAGACGACGGGATACAAGTTGATCTAAACCCACAGCGCCTCAGACTACAGTTGAATTTAATCATCAAGCTACTAACACAACTGGATGGTTAGTAAACCTACTTAACCTTCTGATTGGAGAATTAAAACGGAAATTTCACGCCCAACTTGGGGATCTGAATATAGTACTCCAACACCTCACAAGTGAGGTTTATGAACACGCTTGGATAACATACTTGGGCTCCATGATAACGATGATTCTATCACGATGGCCAGCAAGAGCACTGTAAATTTATCTCCACCGAACCAAACAGGAAGGGAAAATGCAACAGATTATTTCCTCTATCTTCAACTTAGGCAGAATGAAGTCTCACGCACTATATCTCCGCTTGGATCAGAACTGTCATACTATGTGCATACAAGACGGATGGACCCAATCCGACCCTCCATGAGCTTTAATACTCATGATATTAGAACGTTAACTTCTACAATTGATTTACACAAATGTTTTTTTGAATAATGGAGGGTTTATTTCTGGAGATCCGATATGGTGGTTGCCAACCATTATCTGAGAGATATCACCACCGAGGACGTCTCAGGTATCCACCAATTGATCCCATGGTCCTCGCAGACAACAATTGACAGTTCTCTCGAGAAGATAAGTCAATCTTACAGATTTCTACTTATCTTATAACAGTACTAAATAGCTACATGCTATATATAATTTGCATAAGTTCCTTTTATCATCACAATACTATGATTATTACATCATACAATATATAAGTTAACAACTCTACAGAGTTTGTTATTATATATTTACCTGAAGTTAATCATATCTTAAGAGTAGTACTATGGTAACATGATAATGCATTAGCTAACAAACTCTACAGAGTTTTTGGCTATTATATACGTAGCTTAAGTTATTTATATCTTAAGCATAGTACTATACTCATATTATAAAAATATATGAGCTATCAAACTCTACGGAGTTTTGCTATTATATAGGTAGCTTAAACTTATTCATATCTTAAGCTTAGTAATACGTTTATATCATATAAGTATATTAGCTAACAAACTCTAAAGAGTTTTTTGCTATTTGGCTTAAGTGTCATCATATTCTAAGCAATATGGTTATATTATAACATGTATTAGCTAACAAACTCTACAGAGTTTTGCTATTATATATGTAACTTAAGCTTATTCATATCTTAAGCACAATACTATGTTATATCATATAGGTATATTAGCTATCAAAACTCTAAAAGAGGTTTTTGCTATTATATATTTGGCTTAAGTTTCATCATATTTTAAGCTTTATGGTTACATTATAACATGTATTAGCTAACAAACTCTACAGAGTTTTTTGCTATTATATATGTAACTTAAGCTTATTCATATCTTAAGCACAGTACTATGTTTATATCATATAGGTATATTAGCTATCAAAACTCTAAAAGAGGTTTTTGCTATTATATATTTGGCTTAAGTTTCATCATATTTTAAGCTTTATGGTTACATTATAACATGTATTAGCTAACAAACTCTACGGAGTTTTTGCTATTATATATGTAGCTTAAGGTTTCCTTCATAAGCTCAATACTAGGTTTATATCATATAAGTATTTTATCTAACAAACTCTAAAGAGTTTTTTGGCTATTATACAATTAGCTTAAGTTTCATCATATCTTAAGCAGTATGGTTACATTATAAAATGTATTACCTAACAAAACTCGACGGAGTTTTGCTATTATATATATAGCTTAAGTTTAATCATATCTTAAGCTCAGTACTATGTTTATAACATAAAAGTATATTAGTTAATAAACTCTAAGGAGTTTTTTACTATATACATTTAGCTTAAGTCTAAATTTATCTTAAGCTTAGTACTATAGTTACATTATAAATCTATTAGCTAACAAACTCTAAAGAGTTTTGCTATTATATAATTAGCTTAAGTTTAATCATATCTTAAGCTTAGTACTAGGTTTATATCTTAAAGTATTTTAGCTAACAAACTCTAAGGAGTTTATACTAGCATATTAACAAATTTAAGTCTATCAGTCTTAAGCATTGTATTAATGTTATATATACTTTATCATAATAAGTACATTGTAATAACCTTTATATGGCAGCTGATAAGTTAGCAGCAGGAATTCATCAGTTCAGTGCCTTTATGAAGTTCCCATAGGGTTATTACAATCATCACAGATCAAATCACTAATTATTAAAATCCAAAGTATTCTATTACTCCCACCTCCGTTCCGTGAGGATTCTACAAGTTAAAAAGAGCATGAGTCAGGATAAGGAAAAATATGTAATTTTAGAGTAAAATTGATATTTTATACTTATCCTGACTCATGAGGTCAGCCCTCCCATCCTCCCCACATAACACTTTGGATTTCCCTGTAAATTCAAATGTTGGGCTCAGTATATGAGGAGAGAGTGAGGCACATGGGTGAAGGTGGCACCCTCGTTTCCCGAGCTTGTGGAAAGGGGGTAACTCATGGTGAGTACTAATTAGTGATTTTACATTGAAGGGAGCTTCAATTAGGGAGATACAAGTGTTTCCACTAAGTTCGCAAGAAGAAGAAGACAAGCAAAAGAGCATGAGTCAGGATAAGTATAAAATATCAATTTTACTCTAAAAATTACATTATTAGGGCAAGTGATTTTACATGTGCCACTGAACCGGAGTACACTAGCAATTTTAAAGTTATTTCCACCCCTTGAATGCAACACATTTCCTTACTTGGTAATGGATTTCCATGAAGATGCAAGAATCCAGGATGTTTTTGAAGAGATAACTTAAAATAATTTTGTGCCCTTGTCTGGGCCATGTTTGCTTGGATTTATATTTCTGATACTTTTTAAGGTGAGTGCTGCATGAATAACACTGCAATACTTTCTACAAAAGTAACACAAATCAATAACTTTGGCCACTCCTCTTCTGTTTAGCTGTTGCCAAGGTTACAGAACATAGCGATCAAGTCCCAGGATCCTGATAACCCGGTGGAGTTGAAGCTGCAAGAGATCGCCAACAACCTGCGGCGTGAGATGGAGAACCAGATGAAGGTAGAGTTGTCTCCCTTCCTATGCCAGACTAAATACCAGTACAATCTTACTGAAGATGTTCATTGAAGCATTGTAAAACATTCCTCACTCACTCAGGGAAAAAAGCCAACCAAATTAATTTTATGTTTATTATGACCTTTTTCATCTTCATGAAATGACTTGGGTTTATTTCTTCAGAAAACAATGGTGGCTATGCTGGAATGTACCACAACACACTGTTCAGCTGCCATGGATGATGAGGTAAGAAGAAAGATATATGGAAGCACTGAAACTTGGACAAAGATTTTCATTTCTGAAATGAGACTCTAATTATTTTAAGCAATTGACTTGTTTTTGCAGACTTAATGGAGCTCATCATTGAATAATTGAACTATTTTGTGGACATTTTACAAGTTGCCATTGATCAAGTTCTTTCTCTTGTAGCTACCCGTGAAGGTCCGGGTTCGAATGAACCTTCAGTAACCCATGCTTGTCGTAAGAGGCGGTTAGGCTCACTGGCTTGCTTGACAGCTCATGCTGTTGATCACTGGATTGTCTGGTCCAAACTCGATTATTTACAGGCCGACGCCAAATAGCTGGAATATTGCTGAGTGCGACGTAAAACTAAACTCACTCACTCATTCTCTTGTAGTTGTGATAGATTTCATCATTGATATATATTTTGACACTTTCTTGTCATTCTTGAGTTGTATCCATCATTAAGTGGTTTATTTACTTTTTTGATTTTATATACATCTCTTTATTGAGTTGTGTGTCTATTTTTCAGGGTTTCAAGTCATCATTGAAAGAGACCTGTGAAGAAAAGAGTAATCTCCCTCGAGACTTCACCAAATCGGTATTAGATGGTGTTGGCACCGACATCTTCAACAAACTCAGGTGATTTACCTTCCCCAGTAGAACTCTCCTTGTAGTGGAGGTAGATACATTGTCAGTCTCGTTAAACTCTGATCTGTTACTCCGGATTCTCTACCTTCAGTTGTAACAATATCAAAAAATTCCACACACAGTGGCTTCAGGTGAACTTTCAGAACACAATATGTGATTCCTGTTGGGCAGTTTGGAATAAACAAATTTCCAAAGCTGTGATGCTTTGGAATAGTTATATGTTGGTGCATCTAGGCACCCTGACACCATAAGAAAATAGTTATAGTTTTACGAAGAGTTTTTGTATGTATTCTTTTGTTCACATCAAAATTTGAAAAAATGAGGACAGAGTTGATAAGGAAATGAAGCAGAATCATTTATGAAAGCTGACATTTGACAGCCTCATGAACCAGGATCGTCAGATACAAACTCTTGTAGGATCGGAGTAAAGGATTTGACTTTAATGGACACTGTATTCAGCTCCTTCAGCTAACAGCTACTGCACACTTCAATAGTACAGGCCTGGCACTGGGGCTGACTTGGCGTTGATGCACTTACTTGTCACTTGTCACTTGGTAATATTGCTCTCATTAGTAGACAGTTTGAGGTCCATGCTGGCTGTTCCAAGTTGTCATATTGGGTAAATATTGATCAGGTCCTTGTTCCACAAAGCGATCGTAGCCTACGACTGTCGTAAGTCCATGTTAAAGTATGGGAGTTACGATCGTCTAAGGGTTACGATCGCTTTGAGGAACAGGGCCCTGAGCAGCATGCATCCATCCTGAAGGAACTCCCCCAAACATCTGCCTCTACTAAATATTTGAACCCACACAGGCACTTTTGCATGCATCCCTCTATACATTTTCAATGATCGTGAACGCGAAATGTCAAATATGAAACCCATGTCACCTCACCTCAAAGGATCTGCTATATGTTACTGATATTGTAGAGTGGTTTTCTTCCAGGAATATTGAAAGGTGAGATTGTGTTTCCAGATCCCCCCAAAGTTGCTGTTTTATTTGCATTTTCTGACAGCTTTCTTTGTTCATGTGACAGTTGAAGTCATCTTCACCTCCATGCCGTGATGTCTTCATTGAAGCTACCATGACCTCTCTCACTATAGCGATATGGCTGAAATATTGCCGATCTGACGTTAAATATTAACTCACTCACTCACTCTCTCATATAGCATCGTGTTCATAGATCATTGACAATACTTCACTATACTGGGGCATTATGTTCCTCTATCACTGGGAATACACATGGCTGCTGTGTGGTGTAGTGCTGGTGCATGGCTGGTTTCAATCAGCCAGTGATATGATGCTGTATATAAACCATGGAAGTCACACAAGTCATGCTCCTTGCATGAACATTTCAAATCCTGTCGATGCCTGACAGTGTTGCATAATGCCGCACTCAGGATTATTCCAGCTATATGGCGTCCGTCTGTAAATAATCGAGTTAAGATAATCCGGCGATCAACAGCATGAGCATTAATGGTGTTCCCGATTAATTGAAATAATCAAAAATTGGTCGCAGTGGCTATTGACGACCAAGCAACCAATCACATTTTCTCATAATCGAAGTTGTCAGGACCTGAAAACATGTTTAATCTTCGAAAATTCACTAACACTTACTGAAAGGTCATGACTAAATATTTCTCAAAGACTCCAAGAAGTTTATGTTTATGATATATTAGACGTAGCAAGGTGCATCATTTTACATTAAATGTGAAATTTGGAAATGCAATTGGCACATTTTCTAAATAAAACAAAAAACAACAAAGAACCATGTTTTACTTATCTGCATTAACAACCTGGATAGGAAAATCTGAAAAATGATGCTAACCAATGTTTTTCGATGATTGCTTTCGATCGATCTTGCAATTGGGATACGATGACATATATCAGCGTCGTGAGGGAAATAAAAAAAGAAGTTTAATCCATAAAAATATCTTGGACATCTATGTGAAACTTCTAAATGCCACTGAGGGGCGGTGGGGTAGCCTAGTGGTTAAAGCGTTGGCTCGTCACGCCGAAGACCCGGGTTCGAATCCCCACATGGGTAAGATGTGTAAAGCCCATTTCTGGTGTCCCCCGCCGTGATGTTGCTGGAATATTGCTAAAAGCGGCGTAAAGCCAAACTCAGTCAGTCAGTCTAAATGCCACTGAAAGACATATATCAACCAAGTCAGTGAGCCTGGCCACCCGATCCTGCTAGTCGCTTCTTATGACTAGCATAAGCTGCTGAACACCAATTCAACCCAGGTCTTCACGTGTCTTGTTGCAGTGTGGGGAGCCAGAGTTGTGTCCAGTGGTGTACACATTGTTGAGTGAGATGGGACGGTGGGGTGGCCTAGTGGTTAAAGCGTTCGTCATACTGAGACCCAGGTTCGAATCCCCACATGGGTACAATGTGTGAAGCCCATTTCTGGTGTCCACCACCGTGATGTTGCTGGAATATTACTAAAAGTTCTGTAAAACCAAAACTCAGTCAGTCAGTTGAGTGAGATACCTACTCCAAGTTTTCTGAGTGATCGATGTTCAGAGCATTTGCTGCATTGGTCAAACAGAGTACCACAATATTTTGAGGCCCTGTGAACTGTTATGGCCCATCTTGCACTTGTTGTCAATATTGCTTTTTTAGACAAAATTATCTGAGCGATCAATGTACAGAGCATCTGCTGGCATTCTTGTCACTGAAAACAGGTCGACACTTTCTTCAGTTGTTAAGAATAGTATTATAATGTCTTGAGGCCTTATATGCCCAAGTGGAGCATGCTGCAAAGTGAGAGACATTGCTGGACAGGCAATGTAATTTGAGAAAATAATGTCCATAGCACTTGCTGGCATCAATCTTATTGAATGGCTTGATTCAGTTTTAAAATAAATGTAGTTCTAGGATGTCTTATATGGCCCAAGTTGTTCATGTTGCAAAGGGAACATAGCTGATGAGTACTTACTGGCATCTGTGTCTCTGGGAGGAGGTTGAGGCTTGACTCAGTGGTTTACATCAGCAATCCACGTTAGTGGCCATATGTATCACCGGTGATAGAATGGAGTGTATACAAGCCATAGATTCATAGATTCATGTATTTTCTGCTTTCCTAGCGACACAGAGCTCCATTTTGATAGGATTTGTATTCTGTGATTCTCATTTGCGGAAATATTGATTGATCTGTGTACATACCTGTACATTAGATTACAGGTAGACACTATTGGTCCTTGTGATAATGAATTTGCTTAAATAAAAACAGCTATAATGATGAAAAGTTGGTGGATGAGGAACAAGTTTCTAACAGGCAATTGAGTTGTAGTTTGCCCTGTGAGTGGAGAACACAGTTTATACATATTGTGAATCTTAAAAAGAGATTAGATTGCCATATGATTTGAGTGTGCCTTCTAGTCTTGCAATGGACCAGAGCAAAATTAAAAAATCAAATGAAAATTATTTATTTTCAAAATTTATTTTTTCAACATGGGTGTTCCATTGTATGTTGTTTAGTAAAATATAAAGTTGCAACAAAACTCATACAGAATTAAGGTAATTATTAACTTTTTAATACTGATTGATCAAATACATTGTTTATAGGTTTTGATTGCTCCAAACATTTAAATGAATGATGTAATTAAGTATTGTACATGTTGCTGTACAAGTACTTAACATCTCTTTAACATTATGAACATGTTTGTTTTCCTCATAAACAGTGTTATTCCAATATATATAGAAGTAGTGAATTGCACAATTTCATATAAGACAAGGCAATGGCTAATTTCTTAGCAACATTCTTTAAACCACAAAATATAATGACTGGCTTGGATGTTTAAAAGACAGTACATATGCTCAAAATAATTAACACTGGCAATGGATAGTATGGAGGCTCATGGATTTAATTACAAAGTTACTTCCCCTGGCTGTCTAAAAGATACTGAGTTATTTCCCCTGGATCGCTCTCCCTCACCTCCATGACTCTGGCTGTGAAGCATGGGAATGGCCTTCACCTCTCTGCCAGTCTGGGCCTTGTTAAAAGCTATAGTCTGGCTTAGTCTTCAAGGAGTTACTATGAAGGTTAAAGACTATACTTGCTTAAATGTTAAGGAGTTGGTGTTAGGGATTTGACAATACTGAAGTCATTAGTTTAATTTCTAAAAGTGGAAGATACCATTAAGGCAGTTTCATTTATTTAAGCCAAATGCATCTAATCTTTTTCTTTCTTATGCTGGCAGATTTAGAATCATATTTAACAATTTTGAATGATTTTATTGTGCTACAAGCAGGAAGTATATTTTAGTTTTTAGACCTCGTCATTACTGACTTGAACAGAAATATCATGTCATTGTCACCCATTCAAAGTTATTAGTTGCAGATTTGCTTCAAGAGTTAGTGATTATTTATTTGCTCACATTTCTTGTATATAAGTTATGTTTTCCAGAATCAGCTTTGTTCATTGTTAAAGACAAGAAAAAACTGTTCATAAGAAAAATGATTTTGGTTTAAACTTATTTTATTGTCCAAAAGACAACGGGATTAGGCACAAGTGCACCACTTATGATCGCCTTCTCCCTATGGTTTCAATATGAAGTTTTGATAGTTATTGAAGAGAGTAATTAATTTGGGGGAATTAATTTGGTGTGCTGTTTGTCTAGTTGTTACCTAAACGGAGAGCCCAAATAATTATAATTCATATCACTTGATTTGGAAAAGTGAATTTGTTAAAAGAGCATTTTAAAGAGTTGTGGGTAACTTTGTAGGAATACAATATTGAGATGACAGGATTAAGAGGATTAATATTGATGATGTTGTTGTTGTTTACTCTGTGTAATGGTGTGGATGTTTGTTGTTCCAGTGAACTGAATCTTGCTGTGGCGGCACACATTTCTGACCAGGTCATTGAAGAGGTCATAGAAAATTTGTCCAAAAGCCACAAGACACTGGTAAGTATTCTCATGTTCATCTATAATGGTTCCAGTGACTAGAACATGTAGAACGCTGTGAGATGTTAGAAGTAGCCTCCATATAGTAGTCCAGCCATAGGTCCCCAATACCAGGCTTGTTGCAGCATCCTGAATATCTCAGCCATATTTCTCACCCTGGTGGAGGCAGCTTGGTGTTGGGATGCTGGATAGAATACGCCTCAAACATGTGGTTTTGTGTCTACCTGTGGTGTTAGGCAGGAAATAAGGTCTCTTATATATCAGTGAATTGTTGAATAGGGACCCCACTTCTCACAAGTGGCATCCCTTGGGGATTCGGGCCTAATTAGTTCCCAGTACCATTGTTTTGTACCCTGGTACGTTTCAATGTTACAGTGTGAAGCCCATTTCAGGTGTCCCCCGCCGTGATGTTGCTGGAATATTGCAACAGGCTCGCTGGCTTGGTTGACACATGTCATCGGTTCCCAATTGCGTAGATCGATGCTCATCATGTTGATCACTGGATTGTCTGGTCCAGACTCGATTATTTACAGACTGCCGCCATATAGCTGGAATATAGCGCGATGTCATCTTGTCCGAGCAGATCTTCCAAACTATACATGCTAGCTTCATCAAACTTGGTACACATATCAAGCATGATCCCTAGATGTGCCTTTTGGGGGGTAGATCCAGATATGAATTGTATTTTTTGCTGTTTCCATGGAAACACGACTTAGTGCCAAATATGTTTGATTATTTTGTCCAGAGCATATCTCTTAAAGTTTACATGCTAGGTTCACCAAACTTCACACACATGTTAATCATTACCCATTGATGTGCCTTTTGCTATTTTTAAAGTTTTTCAGAATTTAGTTTTTGCTGTTTCCATGGAAACACACGACTTAGGCTGTGACTATGAGGATGTCATCTTGTCCTGACAGATCTTCCAAACTATACATGCTAGCTTCATCAAACTTGGTACACATATCAAGCATGATCCCTAGATGTGCCTTTTGGGGTTTACATCCAGATATGAATTGTATTTTTTGCTGTTTCCATGGAAACATGACTTAGTGCCAAATGTGTTTGATTATTTTGTCCAGAGCATATCTCTTAAAGTTTACATGCTAGGTTCATGATAGGTACATGCAAAATGTATTTGATGGTGACCTGACCACATATAGGGATTGTTTACAGCCTTCATTAATGTAGCTGTAGGAATATGGCTGAGAGTAGTGTTGAAAGACAAAAAAAGAATATTTCCCTAGAAACGACTGCAGGCACAGGCTTATGCGTATAGACAGTATTTAGAAACATAATAGTGAAATTAAGCCTCTCTTAAAGACATTTGATAGTTCTGCTTGATTATTGTGTAATATTCTTTGATTGTTACAGACAAACCACCTGAATCTGAAACTCAGTGGAAGTTACAAGGAATCTCCCTCCAAGTCTACTGTCAAGACAGATACTGACAATGACAAAGATGAGAAAAGAACTTCAACCGTTGGGGTGAGTGCAAAAGAAGGACTGTTAAAATGTGTGGAATGTGGCATCGGTTAGTTTTAGACTGGTTTGTTTTGGAATGGTTTGTATTGAGAATTGTGATTGGTTTGGTTTTTACTTACAGTTAGAATTCTGTCTTCAGTACTTTTTTCAGGAACTGCATGTGGAATCTGATATTTTTTAATCTTCAAGCAAATAACATAGACATGATTTATATAATAGTGTTACTTCTTGAAGTCTTCTGAGAACGCTCATTCATTTGAACAGCTGCAGATGCTGGTTAGTTTGAAACGTTATGTCCAAGGGTCCTACCCTGCCGACGTGAAAAGCATCAAGGTGTACTCAAGTCCTAGGACCTTTGACATTAGCAGTGACTTTAATGGCGACAGATGACAACGGGACATTTTCATGACTTTCCTCACTTGCCAGGACATTCTTCTAAATCTTTATCAAGTTTGAAAATATCTTCAGGACATTTTGACTGACGGTCAGTAACTGTCCCATGAACTCATCTGAAGCCCTGTATTGGTCTTGAGTGGTAAAATTTTGTCTTCAGAAGTGTTGGTTTATTTGAATGGAATACACTCGCTCACAAAGATTGCATAGTACAGCTGTTTCTATGTGTTTTGAGTAACACCCACTAAAATGTAGAAAATATCAGAAAATTATTTTAGCTGAAGTCTCTGGGCTTTCAAAATTGGTCATACTTGGTGATACTGAGAACTAGAAACATAAGTTGTTGATCACTCTTTCTAATCCCAAGCAGGGTGGTGGGGTAGCCTAATGGTTAAAGCGTCCGCTCGTCACGCAGAAGACTTGGGTTCGATTCCCCACATGGGTAAAATGTGTGAAGCTCATTTCTGGTGATATTGCTGGAATGCTGCCGTGATATTGCTGGAATACTGCCGTGATATTGCTGGAGTATTGCTAAAAGCGGCAACAAACCATACTCACTGACTCACTCTAATCCCAATCCATATCATATCATGACTAATAATGTCATGCTTTCCTCAGTAATCAGACCTGACATTAACAGTGTGAAAACAATGTACTGAAGGCTGGCGTTGATATGTCTGGGGCTTATGTATTGTGTGGAGGCAGCCATTCTTCCATGCATACTGGAAGTGCCATTTAGTTTTGCAATTTTCTTACAAATTCTATGAAAGTTTCTGGGGTCATGACACAGAGACTGTGCAGAGTTGCATCCCTTTATACTTGCCAGGATCTTTTGATCAAGTGTTCACTCTGATTAAGACTCTTGTTCTCAGCACTATACCCATTCCACCAAGGTAATGAACAATGGTGTATGATATAGGCTTTTCGGTCACATCAGCTGACGGATGTTGTATGACAGAAATACAGGAAATGCCTTCTTCAGCACCAATCGCTCACTCACTTGAACGTTTTTGCTGTTTTGCAAACATTCCACACACAGTAGTTAAATGCTTTGAGCACCAGTTCAGCAGCTTGAGAATTGTTTTGAGGAGAGATAACCCTATGTGGTTGCCTTCTAGCTTTGTGTTGTAGTGTCTGTGCACGTCCACATTGGGTTTGGGTTTTTGCATGTGGATTTTTTAACTGGGCTTGACTCTTATCTTACGCTTTTGGTCTTGATTAACTATTTTCACCATGATTTCTTTCACACAATCAATAGTTCAGGTGTCAATGAAGAAGGGTTACCCGCATGCAACAATCAGATATTTTATTGTTCAGTACTTGTTAATTTGTTTTCATTTTTTTCATGTGACCAATCAAACAAAATTTACTTAGTAGAAGCAGTTCTTATTATTTGTTTAGTATAATGATTCAATTCAGTATAAATTGAATTAAAGAAATCACCTTCTTAAAAGAATTTAGACATTTTAGTATGCATATGTGATAATTTAGGTTTGAGTGATTTATAGAAAATTCTTATCTTTGGTTGGAGGGTAAGTTAAAAGAAATAGTTGTGGCATGTGAGATTTAGAAGTCTAGATTTAAGAAAATGTTTATGCAGCACGAACAGCATGGGTTATGTAGATTCTAGTCTCGAGCATGAAAACTATGAATTTATCCTTCTCTTTGAAATGCAAATGTTATGTTGCCTAAATTATAATCAAAGAATATATGCATAAAACATTTATAAAATGTGTTTTAATAATCTAATTTCATATACATATATTTCTTACATGTTTTCATGAGAATGATCTCTCATTTGTTTTAGAATTAAAATCTTGGACATAGTAGCACATGACCCACATTCAGACAGGGGCATAATGTTTTCAAGGTTAAGATGGTTAATCACTAAAAATATATATAGTATTTTGTATTCTTCCTGCATTTAACTTTGCTTATGCTCTTGATATAATGTCACGATACTGAGGAACACTTTGGAAATGACGAAAAAATATCATAAAAGTAAGAAATCTTTTTTTCAATTTCCTGTGCCCTTGTGGAAATCATTCCGAAATGTCCTATAATTGATGTACAGTTTATCACTTTAACATCAGTTTCCTTCTTTGCATGCAGGATAAGCTAGTTCACAGCACCTGTTAAAATGAATCAGAGATCATTCTCGAGTATATTCACTAGTAAATGCTTTTTAATTCTGACAAATGTATAATGCGTCACTGTGGCTTCTTCATCTGTCTGACCACCCTCCATGTTGTTCATGTATTCCCTGGCATGTTGTTTCAGCCGTGTTTATACACAGGGACAAACTACCTACACGTAAGTAGCTATGTATGCCGGGACAAGAACATTCGCAGGACAACTCCATCGTTAGGCCAAACATTTGTTGAACTTGTACATAAAATATTTTAACAGAAAAATACTTCTTGATTGGCGGGAAAAAATGCAATTCATCATTTTGTTTTTGTTTTCTCATCCACTAGAGTAGGAAGGGATTAAAATAATACCACCCTGTGTTTTGACATGAATAGTATGGAATACAAATGTTGAATTATTTATTAAAAAATCAGTGAAAAATTATTAATAATGTGTGCTTGTTTAGAAGCATATTTTCGGTGCCGTATGCTTTTAGTTTATCGGCCGGTCTGATTTATAATTGATTTTATTTTTCTCTGTCTCAGTAAAATTTGTCTGTTGTCTGTAAAGCAAAGACTTAAAAAAAGGTAGCCTAAATCACTGTGGAGACTCCATGTAGCTGTGTTCAAAATACCTGCCCAAAGTGGTTCTTAGCATCACTTGTGCATTTAGAGTTTATATTTGGTTATTAGACTGAAGTTTACTAGACTCTGGCTTTGTTCTTAAACATCGGGGCGGTGGGGTAGCCTAATGGTTAAAGCGTTGGCTCGTCACGCCGAAGACCCGGGTTCGAATCCCCACATGGGCACAATGTGTGAAGCCCATTTCTCGTGTCCCCCGCCGTGATGTTGCTGGAATATTGCTAAAAGCGGGGTAAATACCAAACTCAGTCAGTCAGTCTTAAACATCGCTAAAATTGCAGAGTGTAGCATTTGAATCTGTCAACCTCCTGAGTTATTACGTTATAACAGTGGGTTGCGACATGGACACATTCAACTTCCTGTTTACAGTAAAACACTGTAGTTGTTAGCATTATGTCGTCATGTTCGATTCTCAAGGTCCAATGTGTGGAGTCATTTTATGATAGTTCCCACTGTAATACAGTACTGACATAAAATCTTATATAATCACTAATCCCATAGGATCCAGGCTGGAATAGGTCCCAAACTGGCCATTGTTGGTCGTTAATTTTAGCCTCCTTCTGACCAAACTAACTGACAAATACTTTTTTTATGTCCAACAACAGTCAGTCGTGTGTTCCCCACGTGTGATTCACTGGTGCATTATGTCAGACTGACAAAGGAATTCTCGTCGACCACACCTATACTTTTGTCAGTTAGTATCACATTTCTGAACATGTCCAATAAGCGTGAAGGCCTCACGAATATGCCCTTAGAGGCAAAGTAGTTCCCACTTACTTCACATTTACTCGAGGGTTGGTTCTTGACATGACAATGTATTACACTCTATGGCCTAGTGATGTGTTTATTCAGGTGGATAATGTACATATGATAAGAACGTAGCATAAGTTTGACATACTCATTCTAACAAGCTTCACCACACTGAGCAAAACCCTGAATTTTTACAACACATTGTTTCCATTTGAACAGAGAGACACACGAGCAAACAAATCACTCCATGTATGTTCTGTGTCATACCGCTGGAACACGCTATCAGCCGTAAGATACAGTTGAACGTTTATCTGGACCAGGAAGTAGAGGAGAAAGTTTATCAGTTTCAAACTCAAATAAACTTTTTGACACTTATTTCAACTTGACAATGCTTGAAAAGTGCTCAGGTAGGATAGAGGGAGGTACTTCCTCGTGAATGTTCGTGTCCCATGTGTTGTGTCAGTCATAGGATATGGTCTGCAGCTTTCCCTGCTTCTACACTATTCAGGTCCATGTAAGTGGAGTCTCTTGTTCTATATTCCTTCTACTGCATATATATACTTGACATGTAGACTAGACGTATGTGTTATCTTGTTGTCATATAGATACATATATCCTTACATTGAGTTATATCCTGATTGTGTAAGATGTATATATTATCAGTTATGTATCACCACTGGGCCTGCATTATCAGGTGTTCCACGTGTAAGGTGTACCGGTAAGCTTTTGTTAGCTTTGTTATCCACGACAGCACTGATTGTGTTAAACTGATGTTTGTGTGATGTGTATACACTGTGGCTGTTTTGGACATTTTCAAGTTAGACCACATTGGTCTGTCAAGGTGATATTCTCATCTTGTGCAGGTTTGTGATATATGCAAGGTTATGGCTGTAACTTGATATTGGGTAGGGTTTCAAATATTTGCAAGATATTATTGTCACTGTTGATTTGGGTTGAGGTAAGTAAGTAAAGTTAGAGAATGTCACAGAGAGTGTTTCCTGCTGGTTCTGATCAGAGAATGTAGTTCCTGAATTGTGTTATGGGTTTTCTAAGCAGAACAAACCCCACTAATGTTGCCTTTTGTGATCAATGGATTTTTGGTGGCAGCCATGTGTGACCTGGCCGATCAAGTGTCATTCTGCCACACCCCTCTCCTGTCGTAAGATGTGAATAAGGAGATTGTATGGTCAGGTTTACTGACTTAGATGATGCATGTCATTGTATTAATTATGTATATAAATCATCATGATATGAGCTAAATGGATTGCTCATAATGTCCATCACTGGATTGTGTGGTTCATATTCCGTTATTTACAGACCTGTGAGTGGCATTTAGATGCTGGTATGATGAACAGAAATGATTTTTCATAGACATCATCTTTGATGCAATGGATGTGATGGTTCGGTGTAGATGCTTACACCAGTATCATCACTTGCTAGATAACCATGTTAGCATCTGCACCGAAATGTTGCATCTGTTGCAGTAAAGATGTTGTCTATCCATAAAAATCGTTCCTGTTTATTTGCAGACCACCAGCAAATAGTTTCAGAGCTGCTGCCTGTGGAAAATTTATGAATAACATTTTTACATTATAGCGAAACATGCCAAGTGTATGTCACAGTCTGTATGTCATTGTCTAGCTGCCGGTCTAGCTGTGTGTTAAATATTTAAGAAATACAGTTCGCTCTACCACCATGTATAGTGTAATAAAGCACACTTTCGCCCTGAACTATTATAGTTAAAGTACGAGGACGCTTGCGTCCGATTGCTTTAATGTTACAACAGTTAAGGGTGAAAGTGTGCTTTATTACACTATACATGGTAGTAGAGCGAACTGTATTTCTTTTCTAAGATGCCAAATTCAATACTTTCTAAGGATAATTACGATTAATCTGATTCTAAGGCAAAAAAACAAACGACGGTATCTGTGACCTAAATTAAGAATCCTCGCACAGGGCTAACTGGCGCGCTGTTCTATTGATGTGTCTGCCCCCCTACGTTAAGACGAACATTACCAGAAAAAAACAAATGATAAACAGTTTGATTTATTCTAATTATGTCTGTGATTAACGTAAACTATATGGGGCAATATGAACGTCGCATTTCTACTACCAACGTAAGTTTAGATCAGTACATCAAGATGAAGCTGAATAGTCAAGCAACATGCCACAATTGCATTGTGGGATTGTAAACATTGCGAACAATACCATGTCGCTGAAATCTTGTGAGTCGAATTGAGACATCAAAAAACATAAACGTAATGAATCCACTGCAAACCAATAAACGGGATGCAACGGAGTAGTCTACTGTAGGAGGCTGTACGAGGCAATGACAACTGACATGCACCGTGACGTCATTACATAGTGACATAATGCAAAAGTGTTCGATTACGAGGGGGCAGACTAGAATGTCGCAGTGACACCAATACATTGTGAGTAATGCAAAAAGTGCACATTATCGTCGGATAAAGTACTGTCGACACCTTTGATCTTTCAGCGAAGCATCTTAGAAATTCTAATCTTTGTTACATATTGCATTTATTATTATTAAGCTATTTAGTTAATTGGGGTATCAAGTAACTGGGAGTAAATTAGGCAATTAGATCTATAGCAACTCAAAGTTGCTTCCCTTAGTTGCTAGGATAAACATGCGCTCACACCCCATTGCGTCCCTGCTTATGATCTTAAGACTTTGGGGCGGTTGGGTAGTCTAGTGGTTAAAGCGTTGGCTCGACACGCCGAAGACCTGGGTTCGAATCCCCACATGGGTACAACGTGTGAAGCCCATTTCTGGTGTCACCCGCCGTGATGTTGCTGGAATATTGCTAAAAGCGGCGTAAAGCCAAACTCAGTCAGTCAGTCTTAAGACTTTGAATACCATACTGCATGCTTGTTTTCAAAAGTGACTCACAGGCATGTTAATCTATATCACATTAGATATTCAGTTCTCCCATAATAATCATAACAAGCTTATATCATAACACTCTTGATGAAAGTGGCATTAAACCAACTCAAACAAGAGCCCCTCAAGAAGTCAGTCAGAGTACTGACTAACTGTTCATTCTGATCCAGAAATAAGATACATGTTTACAAGCTTGATTTATCTAGGAATTATAAGAAAAGGGTTACTTGCATACTTTTTATATTTTTATTTCAGTTATTTTCAGCATCCTATGCCTTTATGTTTCATTCATCAATCAATGGCCGTTGTTGAAAAAATTGAATATGTCAAAGTTTATGTTTTAAAGATACACATGGTATCTCATATCAGTATGAATACATGTTTTAATGAATGCTGAATCTATTTTCAGGGGTCTCCGAAGTTAACAAGCAAGAGAAAAAGTTTATATGGCAGGAAGCTTCGGCCCCAGTCTGTCATAGGTAACAGGGTTCCTCCTTTACTCCGAGTATACTAACGCCTTCACTGAAACACCACTGGGGACTCGGGTTCCAATAGCTCCCTAGTAACCAGTGAATGGATCAGGTTGTCAGGCTGGTGACTTGGTGACACGTGTCATCACACCCTTGTGGCAGGGATTCTTACAGTAGCAATCATTGAATTGTCTGGTCCAGACTTGGTTATCTAAGGCAACAGAAATGTTGCTCGGTGCAGCGTTAATCAACAAACAAATATGTTTGAGTGCTAGTGTAGATAGACCTTGACTGGTAGATCATAGGTTTAGGTTGCTACTAAATACATAGGCACTTAGGGTGCTTACAAGCTTCCTTCTGCTGTTCTTGTCTATATCTATAATTTCATGTAAATTAAAACCCATTTATCTCAATTTTTTTTTTTTTTTAAATTCAACATTCACATATATATGTATATGTATACAATTTTCATGAATATCAAATTTGTAATGTGTAATCAAATATCACAATTATCCATTGACATAGTTGACATTTAGTTTAAACATATATATACATTTTTCTTCTGAGATATTTAGATTTTAAGATATATTCATAATTATTATAGTGTATAAGAAGACAATACATGTGATCAGACTGTGGATAAGATCAGAAAAAATGCTGGTGGCATGGGCGGATCCAGGAATTTGGAAAGGGGATGGTTCAGGGGGTTCAAACCCCCTGAACCCTCCATTGGCTACACCAACGCAAAAAAGATCTTCAATGTGGTCTTAAGTCATTTTCAAAAGGGGGGTGTTCCAACCCCCTGAACCCCTCCTCTGGATCCGCCAATGCTGGTGGAGTCCTGTTATTTTCTTTCATTCCTTTACTTTCTCACTCAATCACTCACTCACTCACTCACCCTATCTTCATTTCATACAGCGTCTTCTTTTCGTTCAACCTCCAATATGAAAGGTGGGTTTGTTACCATGTTGTTCCAACTAATTCACAGAGTGTATTACAACCAAATAGCATGCTTGTAGAAGAGGCATGCTTAGTCCCAGTATATGAATTACCTCCCTTGGTCACCGCAGCGCTTACCTCCCTTGATCAACATATACTCTCCTTTTTAGAGAAGACTTTTCATTATGATACCCTCAACTGGATAAGTTATGATTACTGTAAATGTTACTTTTATTTTAGATCACAGTAGAGCATTGGCTCAGTGATTTCCATACCAGACTTTTAGATTAAGTTGAATGAATATAAAATTGAGTCACAACTAGTGGCATTTCCGTAATTGAGAAATCAAGCAAATTCTACTTCCAGAATTGCAAGATTCAAGTGATTCTCCTGGCTTTAACTGTGTTATAATTAATGTACTTTTTCTTCATAATTTATCATAAAGACCTGTAGTTGCATCAGTTTTCCAAGTCAAAATGCATGTCCAGGATGACCAGAACTCCTGGCTTCCAATCACTGCAAGAACAATTGAATGACATCATCATTATGGTATAACAGTGGATTATCACCTTCACCTTTGGGTAGATGGCAACTCTGTTGCTGATATTTTAGGCCTTGTTAGAATATTAATAATTTCCACCCTTGTTATTGTTTCTTGCAGTTATAATATATTCATGATTATACATGGGTTTATGCATTCAGTTCATTGTGATTTTATTGACAAAGGTTATATATGTAAAAAAAAGTTTTAAAATATGCAAATACTGGAAACAAGTAATATGCCCCATGCTGACATTCCTGGCCTAGGGGGGCCGTGGGGTAGCCTAATGGTTAAAGCGTTGGCTCGTCATGCCGAAGACCCGGGTTCGAATCCCCACATGGGTACAATGTGTGAAGCCCATTTCTGGTGTCCCTCGCCATGATGTTGCTGGAATATTGCTAAAAGCGGCGTAAAACCAAACTCAGTCAGTCAGTTAGTCCTGGCCTAGGGATAACAGGCAGGCATGGGTTTTGTACAGTGATCATTAGGATTTGTGTATTTCCTGTTCAAGAAAGTTGGGTATATTTGCATGACTGTGCCAGTCCTAGATTGAGCAGTACCTGCCTGTTTCAGTATCCAGATTCACAGCATATAACCGGGATGATATAGAATAATGCCCTTCTTATATAGAGGAGTTATATATAGAGGAGTTATACCCTGTCTTGTCAAACTGCATGTTTATCTTATCAAGTAACCTAGTTCATATGCTAATGAGAGGCACAACACCTGAGTGGTATGTAATTACATCCTCTCATTTCCTCCTAGGGATATAAGTTACATTTACACCAGTTTTGATTGACCCCAAAGAACAGATAACCATTGGTCCTGGGTAATCAACCCTTAAAAAATGACAAACATTGGTCCCAGATAATTGACCTCTTAAGAAATTCATATTGATAGTCCCTGGCAAATCAACCCATAAAAATGGATAACAATAGTCCTGGATAATTGACACCTTAAAAACTCAATAATGATAATTACTGTATGATCAACCATTAAAAAATCCAAGATAACCCCCAAGTTCTCTACCTGTTTCTGATTACTGACCAGTTTTCAAACAAAAATTGGCCCATTGTCTGTTAGTGTTCAAAGTAGTCTAGAGGTCCAACAACACTGACAGGGTCATTATGTTTGATCTGCTGTAAACATGATGTATATTCCCCATTGGTAGCAGAGTATGCATAGGTTAGAACAACATGGATTCAAACACCTTGGGAAATAATGGTATTTGTGTGTGACGGTCATTAAGTCATTGTATGGTGTTCATTATTTAGGAGATAAACATCATGTGTTGGCCAGTTTCTGGGTGTTATTGCGTATTTGAAGCACGGGGAATTCATTTGGAACCAACGGCGTCAGATGTATTTTTCAAATGAAATATTCCAGTGCTTCAAATACTCAATAACACCCGGAAATTGGTCAACACATGATGTTTATCGACATTGTAAACCAAGAGGTCCACACACATTTTGTGTCTGCACTCATTGACCTCGAGTACGGGTACAGCAGTGAAATGTCATCAGCCGGCCGTTTCGGCTGTCTCCCATGGTAGCATCTGGAACTGCTTATTTGTGACGTCATTCGCACTTTACGTCACAATATGCACAGCTGACGACATAACAATACAGTGGTGTGAGCGATGTTTGTATGTATTAATATGCAGCGAATTTCCGGGAATCAAATACTATTTGATCACGTTTTTCAACCAATCAGATTAAAGAACACAGTGACTTTTGGTTTACAATTATAGTTAACTATTGCCAACAAAAGCAGAACTATCAGGTCCTTGTTGCACCACAGATGGTCTTACTTCACAAATGTGCTTCTTTGAGTGGCATTTTTAGAAGTTGGAGAATCAGATAAGGATAATCTTTACGGATGAACAGCTTCTTTATTTAGGAGATGTGATGTTTCGATACAGATTTTTGTATCGTGATATACCTGCTTGACACCAATGCAAGGATCTGTATCAACATGTTGCATCACCAGAATAAAGAAGTTGTTCATCTATAAAGTTTGTCCTTATTTTCACAATTTTTTACAATATCTTTTCTACAGCTGTGTAAAATAAATGATGACATTCACATGTATGTTTTTGATGAAATCTGTTCGTGATTGTGTTGCCATATGTGCTGTGTGTTAAGTTGGTCTCCCTACTTGGAGTGTAACTGATGTATTGCACAATTGGAAAAACAAGAATAGGTTTTTAAGATTTGATTTTCCCCGCACTTTTGAGTTGACTATAGAAGTGGTGACACTAGATCATTGGTTAATCATGAACTAACTCATTGTGATCACTCCAGTTGACATGGGCGGTGGGTTAGCCTTGTGGTTAAGGCATTTGCTCTTCATGCTGAAGACCCGGGTTCGATTCCCCACATGGGCACAATGTGTGAAGCCCATTTCTGGTGTTCCCCGCCGTGATATTGCTGGGATATGGCTAAAAGTGGCATAAAACTAAACTCACTCACTCCAGATGACTGTAGAAGTGGATCATTGGTTAATCATAAACTAACTCGTCCTCATCACTCCAGTAGACTTTAGAAGTGCTGACACTGACTGTTTCTCCATGTAGACAGCTGCCATTGCCTTGTGTTCACATTGGAGGAGGGAGAACCAGATCTTTGGGAAATGTGCACAACTCATAGGACCAATTCTAACCATATTCATGCTTGGAAATTCTGTTTTATATGTTTGCTATGCATAATTGAATGTCATGCTGAAATCTGCCTTTGATCCTTAACTTCTTTTGAGCAGTATAATAAGAGATCGTTGTTCCTGGGTTGTTGTTTTTAGATCTGAACAAGTTGTGATCTCTCCTTCCCCCCCCCCCCATTCCAAGGTCGGTTCTCCTCCCTCCCCCAACATCTCTGTGTATGCAATGTCTCACCTTGCTTGTGTCGTGTCTTGTCCTGTAGACCGTGAGCGTGTTCTCAAAGCTTTGCAAATGCAAGATATAGACATCGGTGACCCCAAACCCTCATCTGCAGTTGATGATGTTGCTGCTGCTGCTGCTGCTTGTGCAGACACTGAAGGTATAATCCCTTATCGTGTAACATCTTACAGATGTATACTCACTTATCGTGTAACATCTTACAGATGGTTTTGTTTTTATCTTCAAATGATTTTTGACAGGTTGATATTATTTTCTTTTTGTTACATTTAATGTGAAGTGATTACTAATGATTTCTGTCAGATAATATATTCAAGTTACTAGTTTTACTGTAAATTCTCTACATCAATTCATTCTGAAATCATTGTTCTGTTATTGTATGTTATTTATTACATTTTTAAACCTTCTTTTTGTAGGTAATAATGCGTGTTATTTTGTCCCATCAGTAGGAACACTTGCTTATGTAGTTGTCTGGTAGCTAGTACACTCCGACTGCAGCTTGGTCGGATCAGGCCTTTCATCACCTGCGTGCCGTGTTCATCCTAATGTCTCACTAATTCCACTCACTGGTTCTTTCCTCATGACATTTCCCTGAAATCAATTGACCTCATCATTCCTCACTCGTAGAGCACCTGTTAACTGTTTCAAGTGTACCATTGATATCTATTGTCACATTTGCCCAGCAGTGACATACAAATGACCTCAGCAACTATCAAGTCAAACCAATCATCAGTGAATGACAAATCTAAACTTAGTTTCATGGCCATGCATTTTTTACCTAGTATTTGGACTCTAATTACTGTTTCCCAGTGATGTTTACCTAAGAACTTCCTACATGTATTGTGATAAATAAAGTACTGCAGTTGGTACAGAGTGAAGAGATTATGTTGTTTGTTTGTAAACACTGCCCTGCCTTCCCCAGATGACCTGTCGGACCTGAACTCCAGCGTACAGGATGGTAAGCTGGGTCGCCTGGAGGAGGAAGTCAAGAGTAAAGGTAGGGATGTTTACATGATGGATGTGACACTGTAGTAGGTGATTAGCTGAGGTGAAATACGGTTTAACGTCACATTCAGTATTATTGTACTCATGTAGTAGGGCCAATGCTTGTCTGGTCACGACTAATGCCGGTTTTAGTGGGCTGGGCCCCATTTCACAAAACTCTCTTAGCCTAAGATCAAGTAACTTTTCTCGTAGCATTCGTACTTCCTATGTTACATTATAGGAGGTACGAATGCTACAAGAAAAGTTACGAGGACTTAGGCTTAAGAGAGCTTTGTGAAACGGGGCCCTGGCTCACAGAAACTTACATATAGTTTGTAAATTCCTACTTACCTACTTGACCCGTAATGATTTGAACATGAAAAACTTGATGTGATGGACCTTAGTATGGACCTTACTATACATAAATATGATCATATATAAAAAAATAGTGATATTGTGCAAAGTTTTATTTATCATGAGATTTTCCTGTCCACTAATTATCCTTTAAACTTGTTTTTGAAAATTGAAGGTCATTTGACCTCAAAATAAAAAAATATCTCTCCCGAAAATTAGTGTTTTCAGACACATAGTATAGATACAGTTACGTAAATGCGACATCTCATAAAATGTTCACCTTCCGAGCTGAAGAATATATTGCCATTTCTTACAAATTTGATGTCAGGAATTAACAGAATACTGCAGCCAGAGTGGTCTCTCTGTCAAAGAAATCGGACCACATTACTCCTGTTCTTCACTCACTTCATTGGCTTCCCGTCCACTACCGCATAAAATATAAAACTCTACTCCTTGTTTTTAAAAGTTTACATGGTCTAGCTCCTCAGTACCTCTGTGATCTGTTCCACCGTTATACTGCTGTACGTTCTCTCCGATCAAATGACCAGTGTCTTTTGACAATTCCTGTGACTAGGACAAAAAACATATGGTGACAGGTCACTTGAGATGGCTGGGCCTCATCTCTGGAACAATCTTCCATCTCACCTCAGAACACAACCAGATTTAGCTGTTTTTAAATCAAATCTGAAGACATGTCTCTTTGGTGAAGCATTTGAACTATATGTGATATCTTGACCATCTTAGAGCCAGAGCGCCTTTGAGCGGATTACGGATATTGGCGCTATATAAGTATTTGTATGTATGTATGTATGTATAATGAGTATGAGGGTAGGGTTGGGTAATAGGGGGTGGGGTACCGGGGTAGAAAGTTTGGACCCGTCCCAGCCCTAATACACACTGATATTGACAGTGGATATGTGCATCTGCATCTATACATTAAAATCTACTATATTCGGAGATATCTTCAGAGTTAAGAGTAGATTCTGAGAATTGACCATGACTAAAAAGTACATCACACTAAAGGTAATCTTCTATGTGACCAAAAGGTAAAAACTAGTAAATGTGTTATATTTCATTCTTCTTGAGCGATGGGGGACATTGCCATGTTAGTGGCAAACACCTGTTTATTGTGGATTACCAACAATGATCCTGCACATCTTATGATGAACATGTGTACGATTATGTATCAGCGCCTTGAGCATGTATCAGTGGGTGGAAAATGGCGCGCTAAAAATATCCATTATTATTATTATTATTATTATTATTATTATTATTACGTGCTGTAGGGAGCGAACAGTTCTTGTGTTGATTTGACACCATCGTCCTGGATGATTTTTGTCTTTATAAAGCTTTTCAACCGCTTGTGTGCAGCTCAGTACCAAATAGTGCTTGATGTCATAACTAGAGTTTGGAAAACAGCTATTTTTAAAAATAATTGTTCTATTTTTATCATTATGTTCAGGATTAGTGCACTTATATGACTCCTCAATATTAGCAGGCTAGTTGGCATATCTGTAACTGAAAACCCTCTTTTTGGATCGAGATGGGTTCTACTTTTCCACAGCTGGTGTCCTGGGCCCTTATTCTCGAAACGTTCGTAGCCCTAAGAATTCTTAACTTTGATCGTAGCCAATGTGTTAAGAATGGGCTTAAGAAGTTCGTAGGGCTACGAACGTTTCGAGAATAGCTAGCCAGTTTCACAAAGCCTTCTTAACCTTAGGACTTATGTTGGTGGATTGCAGCAGTGGTAGTGCTCAGATTGCTTCATGGGTAAAGGCCAAAGCCTCTTCATACTGCTTAACCCAAGTTGAATGTCATGCACATCTATCATGTGAAGACCATTGTTCCTTCTTCTTTGCCTTATTCCATAATCATTGAATATCACTCCAGGACCAGCCCCAGTGCCAGTATCTTTCGACACCCTGGATTCCCCCGACAGTCCGCATCCTCCCCCTTCACTGCAGCATCTCAACAAGGCGCGGCCCAAGCGCATGAAGAACAAGCCCCCAACACGACCAGTGGCGCCGAGTGTTTTGGAGGAGACTGAAACTGATGGTGTCAATGCCTTCTACAAGAGTCTTCCAGCATCGAAGGACAGTTTGGTTTCGAGTAGCGGTGATGCTCCAAAGTCAAGGAAGGAATCCACATCAAGTCCCAAAGAAGAGCAATCGTAAGGGAATTATGATTTTACAACTGACCTTTGTTTTAGACCAGAAGAATAATTTTTGAAGTTTCAGTTGAGATGGAGGTACTCTCTTAACTTTGCCAGGATCTTGGGCAAAATATCTTCGACACCTTGTTTCTTCCACTATTCCCTTCTGCTCCTTAACATAGTTTTACGGACATGTATATGTATATGTATATCTGTCTGGTGAAAAGGACACAGTCGTATAGGCACTGAGATGGTCAGATGGGATATGCGAATATCTTCAAATGCCATATTAGCCTCTGATATGATTCTTGGGTTGTGATTTGTCCATTATTTGTATCATGTATGTAGTCATATCTAGATGTTCTTTAATAAATGTCTGTGTTTATTTCTCTTGTTCATTCTAATTTCTAGAAAACCTGAAGGCAAGAAACGGACATGGTTCTCAAAGGACAAAGATAAAAGTTCTTCCAAGGAAAAGGACAAAAAGGAAAAATCGTATGTTTATAGCATCATGCTGAATTATTTGTTGTCCATTTCTTTTTTTATACATTTCTGATAATACCCTCCCTCACTTGATGATGTCGGGGCATAAGTTGTGTCCCTTATGTGTGACAGGAACCTAATATCAGGGGTTTGCCGCTGCAGAGTAGTGTCCCTTATGTGTGACAGGAACCTAGTATCAGGGGTTTGCCACTGCAGAGTAGTGTCCCTTATGTGTGACAGGAACCTAATATCAGGGGTTTGCCGCTGCAGAGTAGTGTCCCTTATGTGTGACAGGAACCTAATATCAGGGGTTTGCCGCTGCAGTGTAGTGTCCCTTATGTGTGACAGGAACCTAATATCAGGGGTTCTGGTCCAAGTTTACCCTGTTCAAGTCCCCTGTTTTTCAGTTTGTCAGCACCCCACGTGTGTCACAGGATCAGGAGAAATCTTAAGAAATGCAGCACACTGGGCTTTCTTCCTACATCACTCTGACAAGCTAGAAATACTTTTAAAGGCAGCATCAACCTGACTCACTCAAAATACATGCTTTACCATGCTAGCCTGGATGCAAACAGGAATATCCTAAAAAGGATATTATTAGGATGATCTAGATTTGATATTAGAAAGAACTGTCACTCCCTCTTGTAACTGAAGCTTTGTGTTCCACAGATCCATTGCATCCGGTTTCTCCAACTTCTTCCATCGGAAAACTAGTGGCGGCAAGTCAGCAGATGTGAATGGAAAGGACAAGAAATCTGAGTCTAAGACAGACTTAAAGGCAGAGGTGAAGCCGGAGGAACCTAAGAAGGTGGATGTGCTCAATCAGAGCAAGGACAAACCAGAACCTGCCAAACCTCCGGAGGTCAAACCAGAGGTCACAAAACCTAAAGAAACAAAGCTTGAGGCTTTGATGCCCAAAGTACAGAAAGTTGAAGCTTTGAAACCTAAAGAAACAAAGGTCGAGGCTTTGAAGCCCAAGGACCCAAAAGTTGAAGCTGTGAAACCTAATGAGGTGAAAGAATCTAAGGTTGAAGCTTTGAAACCTAAAGTGCAGAAAGTTGAAGCTTTGAAACCTAAAGTGCAGAAAGTTGAAGCTTTGAAACCTAAAGTGCAGAAAGTTGAAGCTTTGAAACCTAAAGAAACAAAGGTCGAGGCTTTGAAGCCCAAGGACCCAAAAGTTGAAGCTGTGAAACCTAATGAGGTGAAAGAATCTAAGGTTGAAGCTTTGAAACCTAAAGTGCAGAAAGTTGAAGCTTTGAAACCAAAAGAAACCACTGTTGAAGCCTTGAAGCCCAAAGTACAGAAAGTTGAAGCTTTGAAACCTAAAGAAACAAAGCTTGAGGCTTTGATGCCCAAAGTACAGAAAGTTGAAGCTTTGAAACCTAAAGTGCAGAAAGTTGAAGCCTTGAAACCTAAAGTGCAGAAAGTTGAAGCTTTGAAACCTAAAGAAACAAAGCTTGAGGCTTTGATGCCCAAAGTACAGAAAGTTGAAGCTTTGAAACCTAAAGAAACAAAGCTTGAGGCTTTGATGCCCAAAGTACAGAAAGTTGAAGCTTTGAAACCTAAAGAAACAAAGGCTCCAGGCTTTGAAGCCCAAGGACCCAAAAGTTGAAGCTGTGAAACCTAATGAGGTGAAAGACCCAAGGTTGAAGCTTGAAACCCAAAGTGCAGGAAAGTTGGAAGCTTTGAAATCCTAAAGTGCAGAAAGTTGAAGCCTTGAAACCTAAAGTGCAGAAAGTTGAAGCTTTGAAACCTAAAGTGCAGAAAGTTGAAGCCTTGAAACCTAAAGTGCAGAAAGTTGAAGCTTTGAAACCTAAAGAAACAAAGGTCGAGGCTTTGAAGCCCAAGGACCCAAAAGTTGAAGCTGTGAAACCTAATGAGGTGAAAGAATCTAAGGTTGAAGCTTTGAAACCTAAAGTGCAGAAAGTTGAAGCTTTGAAACCAAAAGAAAGCAATGGTTGAAGCTTTGATGCCCAAAGTACAGAAAGTTGAAGCTTTTGAGAGCCTCAAGAAACAAAGGTCGAAGGCTTTGAAGCCCAAGGACCCAAAAGTTAAAGCTGTGAAACCTAAAGTGCAGAAAGTTGAAGCCTTGAAACCAAAAGAAAGCACTGTTGAAGCCTTGAAGCCCAAGGATCCAAAAGTTGAAGCTGTGAAACCTATTGAAGTGAAAGTGGAAGAAACAAAAGTGGAGCCTTCGGAGTCTAATGTTGAGACTGTCAAACCAACAGAGGCAAAGCTTGAGGCCTTAAAGCCGAAGGAGACTCTTGAAGCCACAAAACCTAAAGATACAAAGGTTGAACCCAAAGAATCCAAGGATGAGAAACCACAGCCTCCAGAGGAACCCATCCCGAGTGTAAAGACTGAGGCAGTGACTGAGCCAACATCGAAGACTGAGGCAGTGACTGAGCCAACATCGAAGCCGAAAGAGGTAGAGGTGACCAATGGAGAGAAGGAGGTGACTCAGGAGACAAAGACTGTAGAAGTGAAGACAGATGGCGCTCCATTGGCTGAAGGTAATTGTTTGAAAATTTGGCGAGTAGATGTTGACAGACTTTTTAGGAGCATTAAGCAGCATGTTGTTGAATGGACACCAGAATGAACTTTACAAACTGTAGCGGAGTTGACACATCTAAGATTGACATGTATAGTTTTCTTGAAAGCCATAGGACAGGTTTATTTGTTTTTGCTGTAGGCATCGGACTATGAGATTAAGTGTTGTATTTCATATAATGTGTGTTTCTCAGTACGGAGATGATGCCATTACACTGTGACCATATTTGTTATGATTACACCATGCCATTTAAGAGAACGTGGTCAAATGTAACATATGTTATATTTGGGATTACACTTTTTTATGAAAGTACAAATTCTTGTACTTTTTTGGGTCCCATCCGAGTCCAGTGTTTTTTTCTGTCAGGCAAGCAAATTTGTATATCACACTGTACCGGTGTCCAGTTGACTTTCCAATGTTAATTATGTTGTTTATTTAAAAATATCAACAAGAAAACGGCCGGTATAGTGGAAAAATTATCAGGGCAAGTGATTTTACATGTGCCACTGTACCTGAGTACACTAGCAATTTTAAAGTTATTTCCAACCCTGGGTTGTGTTGACAATGTGGTTTGTTGCTCACAGTTTCTGTCACTGGATTGTGTGATCCAGAACTGATTATTTATAGGCTGACATTAAAGGCTGTCGATTGCTGGGGGCGGTGTTAACAAGAAACAAACTTGTTTCCATAGTGATATGTCTAGAAAGTGATTAGGGCAGTATAAAACCCAGCACACTGACACTTTAATAAATGAGTGGTCAGCTACCCTGTAGGATCTGTGTTGTTATGTTTTCAGCGGAGGACACGAAGGACGAGGAGGAGGAATCAGACGCTACACACAAGCTCCCTGCAGGGATTCCCAAGATCGGCCTTGGCGGGAACTTGTTGGCTGAGATGAAGCAGAAACAGGAGAAGAGGTTGTCCCAGAGATTCCCGCCTATGGGACCTGCTCCCGCCGTGCCTGTAAGTCTTGGAGTTGTCTGTACAGGGCATTTAAGAAGCTGTGTATCAGTTAAAGCAGGATTGACTGGATTTCAGTTGAAGTGGAACACTTTTTATGGATAGACAACTTCTTTGTTGCAGTAGTTGCGACGTTTCGGTGTAGATCCTAACACCGTTATCCAGCAAATGATGCGGTGTTAGGATCTACACAGAAACGTCGCAGCTACTGCAACAAAGAAGTTGTCTATCCATAAAAAGTGTTCCACTTCATCATACCAGCTGCTAAATGCCACTTATGGAAGAATAAATGGTTTTCAGTTTGTTCAGTATTCAGAATTTCTAAAGATGGACTGACAATGGCCCTGTTCCCTGTGCCTGAAATCATTGCTTGTAAACATATGCACAGTTGGAAGCTGAGCCAGAGGTGTTTTTCTTGTTTGTAGACTTTACATTCCAGAAGACATGCCATATATTCTTTTTGAGTGTCTTTTGACGCAAAAACGAAATGTTTTGATCCCCATTCCTTGTTGTTTCAATCTAAAGTTGAAGTCAACAAGCCACAAGTCGACCATGTCTTTATGCTATCACATGGATGTGGAGCTGATGCTAGGATTTTCACAGTGACTTTTAGGAAATTATTGTTCCAGAAAGAGATCATTTGTTCTCACAGAAAACAAAAAGAAATTTGATGGTTGTTTTGAAAAATATTGTATTTTATGATAATGATAAGGAATAATGGCCATTTATAAAGCGCCTGTTTCCACGTACTTGTGCATGCTCAAAGCACTAAGACATTATTACCCCAATAACCTAAGCTGCCTGTGAGACGCTAGAAAGTTAACATTCATATAACTTATCCCACCGGGTACCCATTCACTGCTGGGTGAACAGAGGCAATTCATGAACAAACTCACTTGCCAAGGGTGAGACCACATGTATCACATGCGCTTTGTTGTGGGGCAGGACTTAACTCCAGAACAATGGTAATGTTCTTTCTTATAGAGAACAAAATTTATTCGACTTGAATATTGATTGATAAATATTCTGTTTCAAACTGTTCAGTTCTTAGAAAATGTCTCCATTATGACCCAGGTTTTGATTTATATGTTGTGTAATTCCATCAGGCTGAGAAGGGGAAGCCAGAAACCAACAACAACATCGGCGAGAAGTCGGACCCTGCCAAAGGCGGGGACAGTACAGAAGAGAAGAGGCCCCCGGCACGGTCAGCGACAGTGGTCACCAAGAACCCAATACCTGCCCCACGTGGCCTGGCCGCAAAACGCCCAACGGTCATAGCTTCCAGCCCGACCTCTGCTCCTGATGGTGAGTACACAGATCATCTGATTCTTTCATATTAGTAGCTAATCTGTCATGTCTCATTTTGAGTAGAATATTATTAGATCCCAGTCCACATAGAAGTCCTTGAACTCAGTTCATTAGGCAGTGTTCAGTGTCATCTTGCCCAAACATCACATCACATAACGTAGTGAGGATGCAGTAGTGTGTGATGATGTTATCCCAATAGAGATAATTTTGCTTTGCCTGCATATGTTTCTATGTCTATTGCCTGCACCTGTGAAGATCCGGGTTAGAATTGGTCTTCAGTAACCCATGCTTGTCGTAAGAGGCGACTAATGGGATCGGGTGGTCAGGCTCACTGATGTGGTTGACACGTGTTATCGTATCCCAATTACGTAGATTGATGCTCATGCTGTTGATCACTGGATTGTCTGGTCCAGACTCGAATATTTACAGACCGCCGCCATATAGCTGGAATATTGCTGAGTGTGGCGTAAAACTAAACTCACTCACTCACTCCTATTGTCTGTTCCTCAATCCCCATACTGGTTGTCACATAGGGTTGTAGTCCTCTGTTTAAGTAATCAGTTCAACTTAATTCTGGATTCCGCTGAGCTGAATAGAATGTTTGGACTTTAGTGCATTGACATTCCTCTAACATAGGCTTAGGTTTTCTTTACATAATTTTTCTGATCGCCATGAACTACTTTTCCCCGAATTTTTAAAATGGGTCCTGCTGTCAAAGTATGTGAGCCTGTCCAGACTTATTACCTAAAGGGGCGGTAGGGTAGCCTAGTGGTTAACGTGTTTGAACATCATCCCCGGATTTGATTCCCCACATGGATACAATGTGTGAAGCCCACTTCTGGTGTCCCCTGTGGTTATATTGCTGTAATACTGCTAAAAGCGGCGTAAAACCAAACACACATATCAGGGGCGGATACAGCTTTTTGAGAAAGGGGGGTGCACACTATCGAGAAAAGGAGGGGTGCACACTTCGTTTTCACCCGAGTTTCAATGGTCATTTAACAAACTTTCAGCACAAAAGGGGGAGTGCGCACCCCTGCACCCCCCCTCTGGATCCGCCTATGCATATTATAATCTATAGGCTGTCAGAACATAGCTGAAGTCTAGTCTTTTGTTGATATATCTTCTGTCTCTGAGACGATCATGCCATGCAAAGTTATTTGTTGTTGTTTGTGTAGGTGACGGCCCTGCCAAGGCTGCGGCTCGACCAGTGCCACCTAAGAAGCCCCCACAGTTGCCACCAAAACCCCGCAACAGCCTCCGATTAGCTAAAGACTCTCCAGTTGAGGAGGAAGGTAAGTCTTGTATTTACAACATTTACACAAAGTGTGCAGTCTACTTTTAAGGTTACCATAAATGCTCAAAAACGTTAAGTCAGTTCTTATAAATACCTTAAAAATCATAACTTCACATACTGCTTTCACACATTATGTTCACTGTACAAAATCAGTAATGTCATTAAGTGCAAAATACATATACTTCAAAAGTTCTTCATGCTGAGAGGTCGACAGTCTGTCAGAGGAAAAGACTCATTCCCTCCCTCCCTCACTAATTCACTCACTCATTCACTCACTCAAGTGTGTATCCTCCTGTGTTGATGTAGGATCCTGTGAAAGTCCAGAGAAGAAGCCCGAGGAAGGTGTGGTGTACGACTCCGCCACGCTGCGACTGACGGTGAAGCAGAAGGCAATGCGGCTGCATGATGGAACCAAGACACCCCCCTCTGTCAAGGCCAAGACAGGCTCCCTTCCCAGAGATTCAGGTCAGGGAACAAGGATACTCTGTTTAACACCCCCCTCTGTCAAGGCCAAGACAGGCTCCCTTCCCAGAGATTCAGGTCAGGGAACAAGGATACTCTGTTTAACACCCCCCTCTGTCAAGGCCAAGACAGGCTCCCTTCCCAGAGATTCAGGTCAGAGAACAAGGATACTCTGTTTAACACCCCCCTCTGTCAAGGCCAAGACAGGCTCCCTTCCCAGAGATTCAGGTCAGAGAACAAGGATACTCTGTTTAACACCCCCCTCTGTCAAGGCCAAGACAGGCTCCCTTCCCAGAGATTCAGGTCAGAACAAGGATACTCTGTTTAACACCCCCCTCTGTCAAGGCCAAGACAGGCTCCCTTCCCAGAGATTCAGGTCAGAGAACAAGGATACTCTGTTTAACACCCCACTCTGTCAAGGCCAAGACAGGCTCCCTTCCCAGAGATTCAGGTCAGAGAACAAGGATACTCTGTTTAACACCCCCCTCTGTCAAGGCCAAGACAGGCTCCCTTCCCAGAGATTCAGGTCAGAGAACAAGGATACTCTGTTTAACACCCTCTGGAATGAAGGAAATTGTATTGTCTCACCTTAATTTCCCCATTCCAGCAGATAATAGGCATGGCGTAGCACCATAGATAAGGTGTTTTCTGATTTCTCCAATGGTCTGAGTTCAATTACCCGCATGGTATGAAGAGTAAAACTCTTTTTCTGAATCCCCTAAGAAATTGATGGAATATAGTTAAATGTGAGTTTACCATCCTCACCTCCTCAAATATTAAAATACACAAGCCTTCTTAAATTCCCTCTGCTTCTTTACTGTATTTCGCTAGATTGTTTAGAACCATAGATAGTAGAAAAATGCCTAAGGGACCGTTCATAATTTATGGCTAGGGGGGGTGATGATGATTTTTATGGAGAAGCTTGTACAATGTGAATGACACCCCCCTAAATTTTAGGCACAAAAATAAGTGACCCCCCCCTGCATGTCATGTACAAAATCAATGACCCCCTCCCCTACCTATGATTTCTAAGCATAATTTTAAACATATTTTTATATACAAAATTGAATACTCCCCCGAGTCCGTGTGTACAAAATTGATGACACCCCCCTAGCTCGCCAGAAAAAAGCCATAAATTATGAACGGTCCCTAAACCTTAAGTTAATGATGGTAGTGTTTGTGTCTGCTATGAATGTTCACGTTAAAGAGTTTTTCTGTACCTACAGATGCATCTGATGATTCCAAGGACGACCTTAAGTCTGACAGTTCCGTCTTAACACCCGACGAATGTGACAGCACACCAGGAAATATAAGCTCAGACTCTCAAAGTAAAGAGTTGGACTCTAAATCAGGGGAGGCCACTCCAGATAAGGAAAATGGAGATGATAGCTGTCCAGTAGTTGAGAAGAAAAAAGGCCCTGATGGCAAAGGTGACCCTGATGAAATCATGGTTTGAAGTGCCTGCGACTACAATATTTTATGGAATAACCACACTTTTATATTAATGAGAACACATTTTCTAAATAATCGTTTTCATCACCAGTGCACATACTTGTGGTTTTGCTTGGATGGACTCAGTGGATGGAGTCCGTTGTGAGAAAGTGACTATCAAGTTGTATTTTACTTGCATGGTTAGGTTAGAACATTCCGGGTTTGACTTGCAACATTATACTTGTGTGTACACTCATAATCCCCGCCATGCTGCCTCGGTTGGAAGGGAGACTTGCAGTTGACATCCTGTGAAATATTTACAGTTTATATTCATACTGCTTTCTACATTTCTACATTTTCATACATTTCATATGGTGTTCCGTGCAACTTGTAAATGTTCCATATTTATTGGATATGCTGATGTTGAGTCAGTGTTTGCCTGGTGAAGCTAGGTGGAAGAGTGGGTTGGTCGTTGAAGGTCACTCTTGCCCATTGTCCGGAACATGCCCAATAGTACATATTATACAGAGAAATATGCTTATATAATGCAGCCTCTGGACTGGTCATTTAGGGCTGAAGTGAGATGCAAGTCTGACCACTGGTCCAGGGCTATGCATTTCGGAGTTACTCCCCTTAGCAGCCTTGGAAATATGGTTTTTGACCTTGTTTCTCTGGTCCTCAGGATGAGGAAAATGTTTACTGTGTTTTCAATTTCTGTCAGTTTAGTTGAGTTCAAATTTGAAACAAATCTAAAGCATTGAGAACTTGTAATGCCCCTGAAATGCTTCTGTGGAGAGTTTCTCGTTGGATGTTTTACCGTTCATAATTTATGACTAGGGGGGTGATGATAATTTTTATGGAGAAGCATGTACAATGTGAATGGACCCCCCCACAAAAAAGATTTATGTACAAAATAAGTGCCCCCCTTGCATGTCATGTACAAAATCAATGAGGCAGGTGTAGAAACTCATACAAGGAAATGTATTCTACTGAAAATACTTTGTGTGTGAAATCACAGTTGGCAATATATAAATGTATATAATTACCGTAACAACATAACCAGACAAGCATTATTGGTCAGGCACCAGCTGATAAAAACAATTCAACCGGGATTTTTTTCTCTCACAAAATACAACAATTTAGTTCCTATGTTACATGCTATGGTTTCAAAAACAATTGCGTTAGAAACAAGTATTTTTGTTTTATTTTTATCCAGGACTTCATTTGCATCCATTTTAAGTTATATCCCAAGATGTTTTGTTAGATGATCAACAAGTTAGTTCATACAGATCAATTCATTTCTCTACTGTATTTTGAAACATATTATTGCAAATACCCATAAAACATTTTCGTGACACCTTTGATGGATGTCGTCTCTCATTGTGTATGCTTTCTCTATAATGATAGCTATAAGTATTGATGACAGTATTCTACAGATGGTTGAACCATTGTCTCCGACGACCTGTGCTCACTTTGTTGAAGTAGTTGCGAGTTTTAGAAATGTCCGATTATGTAGATGAGAGACTCATAGTGTCACTGTTGTTATCCATGGATACTCCTCTGTGTTTGAGTAGATTCCAAGCAATACCAAAGATGATCTTTGGTACTGCATCAATTCAGGTATATTAACATAAGTTGGGTTCTTCTGTTGACAGGGTGGTGGGGTAACATAATGGTTAAAGCCTAGAGTGTCATGTTCGAGTTCCCACATGGGTACAATGTGCGAAGTCCTTTTCTGGTGTCCCTCGCCATGATATTGCGGGAATATTGCTAAAAGTGGCGTAAAACTATACTCACTCACTCATTCTTCTGTTGACAGAACAGTTTCCATTTTGACATGTTTAATTCCTTGTTGGAAAGAAAGTCAGAATCTATCGGTGGGTTGAGGTTGATTATAAATGGGGAAGCAATTAATTGACATCGCTGTAAATGGCTGTGCACACTTTGGTTCCTCAGCAGTGAAAGGATTTTAAGAATATGGTTTCTTGTGTTAAGATTTGCATCAACTTTCATCTGTGGTTAACTAACGTATGTCATTTTTCACTGATGTGGTAGAGGTCCTGCATGACCTGGTTGTTTCCCCCATGTTGAGCTGACACACCCGGATGTAATTGAAACAAACAACTCTCTAAAGTGATGTTACAGAGTACTCATTCTCACCAGCTCAGCAAATGATTCTAACGAGTGAGTCAGTTGGGTTTTATGCCAACTTTAGCAATATTCCAGCAATATCATGGCAGGGGACACCAGAAATGGGCATTCACGCATTGTACCCATGTTGGGAATCAAACACTGGCCTTCGCATGACGAGCAAACACTTTAACTACGAGGCTACCCCACCGCCCCTAATCTAATATGATTGATGAGATTAAACATGTCCAAATATGGTAGCTGTGTTCTTCATGAGCCAGAGGCACCATGTCTTGTTACAAATCGCCATCATCGAGATATGTTTACTTTGAAGCAGGCATCCCCTTAAGAGGCCATTATGAAATTCTAAGGACTACTTAGCATAAGATGTTTTGAAGACATGTTTTCATTCATTTAGGTCCAGGACAACTGGTGGACAACTTGGCAGTGTATCAACTAAGTGTGGAATAATTTAACTGGTCCGTCTGTTTCTTCCATCTGGTCCTTGGGCTATGACATCCATGCTGTCAATTTCCAGCAGGGAGATTGTGTAGAGTAGTGTCCCTTGCCGTGCCAGGATCAGCTTGTTCACCTTGCTTGTGACTGGTGAATGTACATTGGATACACTGGTAATCAAGCTTACAAGCTAGGATAACACCGAAGTACTGATCAAGTGGCGTTACAACCAGACCTACACTTCCTCATCGAATCCACACTAAATATTAAAAAAGTGTTGAAGATAGTTGAACAAATGTTTGTACAGTAAGGCCTCTAAGGTAGTGATGTCTGTGTAGTTGAATTTAAGTTTGAAGAAATTGTTCTTGACATTTACATGATATTATGGACCAAATCAAGGAACAAGAGGGCAGATGCAGGAACCAAAAAAGGGTGCCACATTGGATCTAGCATAGGCTTACTGTGACATATTATTGACAGATGGGGCGGCTTTTGCAGTGATTATGTTTCTGGCTTTGGCAGCACCATTCCCATGTTCTTTGGTTTCATAATAGCGGTAAATATATTAGACCTTAATCACTTCAAGTTTTTCTGCCTCATTAAGTTGACACATAGTGAAACAATGTTGAAATCAGTTATATACCAACTGACTCACTCACTCATGGCAGATTGTATTATGACACTTCCACTATGGAACTGTAGGACTTTATTTTGAAAATGACCTACTCTCAAAAAATGACATGTTAAGGGAAATAATTAATGTTCTACAGCCAGCATATATTGATATATATATAAAATTTCCTTTTTTGACAAAAATATGAAAAAGGCTGATCAGCAGAACAAGAAATTATATATTTTGGGGCATAAATGAAATATTTCCTTCAGTGATTATGTGAAACTGCCATGGCTTGACTTATCCAATGATTATATAGACTTTTTCCTCAGTATAAGTTTCATTTACAAGCAGTATTGCAGATTGTTGCATGGAAGCATAGGAAGGTTGGAGAGTCCCATGTTAGGTCAAATGTGGTATTTTACTTATCACATGGGTTGTGTGTAAATACGGAATTTATTGTACAGTGTAAATATATATATTTCTATAGATATATTCATCCAGCTTTAAGCACTTATATTGATATATCTGCTTGATCTACAATTACATGCAAAGGACCATTTTTCATGTTTATATGCTGAGTAAGCACATTTTGTAATCTCTTTATTATCCTTGTATTGTGTTCAGTCAGAGTTAAGACGAGCTTCATATATATGGTATATAAAGAGAAGCCATTCTATGTGTCTATGTTGTGATGGTATTGTGTCAAAAACCTTTACACCTAGTACATGTTGCTGCTTCATGTGTTCAACATCTCACCTTATAGGTGGAGCTTTTTATGAGCCAGGACCTTGTATGCATTAGTCTTAACCAAGGCAAATACAAAGCTGAAGATCGTTCTTGTCAGAGATTAAGGCTTGCCTTTCTTGTCAGAACAATTATATGTAAACCACATTTACAACCCAAAATGTACCACAGTGACATCTTTGTGGCCATGAGCCTACGTAGGAGCCTGTTACTATGGAAACCATGGCTAGAAGAAGCTTTGTGAGATAACTGTTCAGATACGTTCAAACTTGCCTCATTAAATGGACATAATTGCTCATCCTTGAATGTTAATCCACAATTCTTCATTGGGACAATTTTACTTGGAACAAGGGTGTCTGGATCACCAATGTGACACTTAAAGAAACAGAAAATTTGTGTTATTCATGTTTGGCAGGAAATCATTTGCGTACACTAATGTAGTAGAGGAACACTTTGTTATGGATAGACAGCTTCTTTATTGCAATAGCTGCAGCGTTTCGGTGTAGATCCTAACACTGCTGTCAAGCTAATAATGATCTATCCATAAAACCGTGTTCCTCTTCATCGTACCAGCTTCTAAATGCCACTTAAGGAAGTTGTAATGTTACAATACGGAGAAGCAGCTTAACCACTCACTTGATGTACTTATCCCAGAATATACCATACACAATAATGTCTACTGATTCACACAACGTGCAGTACGATGCGTACACTCCAGAAGACCACACTTTATGCTAACAAGTACATTATTGCTGTAAATCTGTTTTTTAACCTGTATTTGATACATGTAATTGCTTTGAATTCTACTTATATTACTTAAACTGCATGATCTCCAAGATACTTCATTTTTAGCTGTATTTAACAGGTGACAGGCTCATGTGCTTAATATTTTGATTTTGTTTATGGTCAGGGAACCAAGTCATACATTTTGTGTTAAATATTCAGCCAACATCTTTGTCATTTAAGCTCCGTTCACGTTCTGTAGTGTGCATGCAAGCTCCATTCATGTTCTGTAGTGTACAGGCAGTTCAGGAGATGGAGGGGGTTTCTGTCAGGTGAGAAGGTACACCTGACATTTATAACTGAAGTCAGACAGGCTTTCAGGGGCAAGACGGGGATGAAGAAGGCTAGTGTCAGGATTAATTTCATGTTAATTTTAAAGTTAATGTAAAATTTAAAAAATATGAATCAGGATGATGGTTAAAGACTTGTTTTCATATGACTGAAGAGGCTCTAAGAGAAACATAAACAAGGTAAACATATTGAAACTTAACATTTCAATTCCAACTTTCACACATTTTGTAAGTCCTTCGTAAACAAGTTAGAAAATGATCTCTTATTTAAGTGTTTCTTATTGTGTTGTTTCAATAAATGTTACCTGGATTAACGTTTTTGTTGATTTCAGTGGGGATAAAAAATATAGACTTAACTATGGTATAATGCTCAGTATTAAACATTGTTTTAAACTTTCTACTGTGCCACAATGATGCTTCACTAATGAAGATGCATGAATCATTGTCTGCCAAACCTGATTAAAGCCTGTCTTGTACTTTGGCAGCCTGTAAATATCACAAGATCATTTGATAATCACTATTTAATCTCAGGATAGTATTGTTTTGGTGAATGTGGGCTTCATATATTTTACTGTTGTCTTGTGTCCATGGTAACAGTGCCAGTAGTGGTAATTCAAGCTGCTGTATTTTTTTCGCTTTTATGAACTGTTGTATTTCTTGTAATTGTTTGTAATTTTTCATGTTGAAATGATTGTATTTTAAATAATTTTGTTTCATTTTTTGACAGTATGACTTCATCATTTTGATATTGATTGCACCAGAGTGTCAATGATATTATAGAAAAAACAAACATATTCTTCATGTGAGCTGAACCGCAGAGATATCACAGATTGTTTCATAAATATGATTTGATTTTTCATGATATTGGAATTAAATTTCATTTTCAAATTCTTAGAATTGATCTGGTTGAAATAGTCAACGGTGAATCTCTATCATCAGATCTGGATGAAAATCGGAATTGACATGAAAAGCTATTTCAACATTTTATTCCATGTAAATGTTTTGACCAACGGCTATGTTAATATCTGCCTTTCTTAATTATGTGCCTTCTAAATTCTCCTACTTGTACATACTTATGTTTCTGTTTTGTACATCTTTTTTTAATATAATTTGTGTTCAAAACACAGTACAAGCTGCTTGATTGATGAAGATATTCATCTCTATATTTCGTTCTTCCTCCGATATTTTAGTTGTATTATATTTTATAAATCTGAAATTGAAAAAGTGCTGCTATTGTAAGTTCCATATTTCCCTTGTTTGGGGTTAAAGAGGTAATTTGTCAGTGTCATGTTAAATGTTTAATTGAGTTAACATGTCACGACGACCCACAAATGGTCAAGTTTGCATTGATTTATTTTCAGTAAAAGGATAGTTTTAAAATAGAGAGATAATAAATCTGGGATTGTTTTTAAATAAATAACACTCTGATGATAACAAGGACAGTAATATATTGATTATTAATCAAAAGAAGTTATAGATCCCTTTGTTTTCACATGCCTGTAGTTACTCTGCAGTTGATCAGTAAGTATGGTCATGTGAAACAATTCAGTGTTCTTCACATCTTTTGAGTGGAATATGATCTGTTCAGGAATATTGTATACAGTACAAATCTGCTGATTATTTCTAAAACAGTGTAAAACTCAGTCACTCTCTCAAATAACAGACAAATTTAATTATATGAAACAATTAAGTGTTGTGTAACTCCTTCATAGTAATATATATCCACATTCAGTTGATGATAAGATTTTGCTCCCTGTAATGTGGAACCTGTTTAGTGTGGACTCCTCTCCTATCAGACCGTTTCTTTGTATAGCCTGTGTAACATGAACTAGTTATCCAGAACCGGTGAATTCTGATGATATCATTGTGAAGCAGATTAGTGGTGTTAATCTCTCCCTTATGTTACCATTATGTTATGTCTTGTGTATGTCAACACACGGTGCTTCTATAGATGCCTTATTAAGCATAATTTGATAATTAGGGTTGTAAGACCACAATTATCTCCAAACTGATCCAGCTGTGTTTATTTAATGATCATTTGAGTATATGTGTAACATGTATACTATTGTGCTGTCACTGGTGGAGTTCACCCTGTTCAGTCTGTTAGGATTTATTATTATTATTATTCATTAAGTTCAGCTTATGAATAAAATAAAGTGTTACTTGTGGTAAGTGCATGCGATTCAGCAGATACGTGCAACTCAAGCCACACTCTGGCATGAAGTCATCTTCTACATATCTGAAAACAAATATTTAATTTGGATTTGCCTTTTTTATAATTGTTTTGTTTAACAAGCCTCCTGTAGATAAGATACATCATACACATGTGTCATATAGTGCAGAAGGTTTGTGAAACAGGTGTTGACAGGTCTATACTTTGTATACTTGTATTAAGTTGTGCGATTGGTTTTAAAATAAAACTTGTTCCTTTTTTAAGTAATTTTAGGAGACAATGAATGGAAATGACAAAAAGTCTTTTTTGACAGATGTTAAACCTTCATTTTCTAGATCGTACTTGAAGGATATCTGTATGTAATGATTCATTCATGTATGTACTTATTTTATTTTATAATTGTTAGATTTTAAATGTTAGGACAATGTAGTAATATTAAATTATGTGTAAGAGGTTTGAGCATTTAGAACTAGTAAAAGGTAATTACGAGAATTATGACACGAGAATAGACGCATGGATAGTGATGAAGTACGAAGTGGTACCACACATGGCTTGGCCTTGTATCTGCATGTGTTTTATATAGTGTTATTGTGCATGTGTGTTTAACTCAGTGTATCACATTATTTTTCTCTCCAATGTGTATTTGTAACCTTGTACATACATATATACCATATACATTATGCAACCCAATCATGACAGGTAGGAATTTCCGTTATACTTTAAATTGTACCAGAATGGAAATAAATAAATCTGAAAATAATTTGTGTTGTTATTTTATTTTGTTAGAGACAAAATGAGAAAGATCGTTCTGGTACCTTAGTGGGAGGTGCATAATTGGGACCGCTGTACTCCGCTGAGAAACATGTTGATGAGAAGTCGGCGATACTTGTCGTGCCACCCATCAAACTAAAGAAGGGGCAAGTCTTGTTCTGCTGGTTGGATTTTGTATGTTTCAAAGGGACCCCAAAGTCGACTTCACCCTGAATGAGATTTCTAAAGCCCTCACTTAATAATGACAAGGTCACTTATATGGTGCTTAACTCCAAGCCGCGCGGGCTTGCGCTAGGCGCATACAACTTAAACCGTAGACAATTGTCAGTGATAATATAACAGACGGATCTTTAGGCCAGATTTAGAGGCAGCCAAGGAAGAAGCGCATCTAAGGTGAAGGGAAAGAGAGTCTCATAGCATAGCAACTGAGTGAATGAATTGGCACCAAATGTCTTCAGTAGAAAAAGTACTTAAAGTCTTCTTAAAGGTTTCTGGAAGGACGATACATTGCTGTAAGAGTTTGAACAAAACTGCACCCTGCTTGTTATGTTAACCAGGTCGAATAGATGATTAGCCCTGTATTAACTTGCACTTAACTCTATGCAAGAGGATACAGCTTGATCGAATTCCGCAGATAAAGTAAGGTTATGAAAGGGCATGGTCAAGCAGAGGTGGTTATTCATCTGGTCTGAGTCAGTAAACACTCATGACAAAACACGTGACATCCGTCTGCTACTCTTTTCGTGCCCTAGTCTATCTCCAAGACCCCAGCCAAAGTGAAAAAGAAGTCCTACTCATGTCAAGAATGACTGGTAAAAATCTAGATTCTCGGAATTGCCCTGGTCTCCTTTTGGATTTTATTTGCTTGTTTTTGTAGGTATGTATATTTTAAGTAAGATGACTTTATTTCTGGTACTCAGTGTCGGTGTATTTGTGCCAGAACCTGAACAGACATCATCATGAACCGAGGCCAAGTACTCACAAAAGTGAGCCCAAGGCCAAGTACTCACAAGAGTGAGCCCAAGGCCAAGTACTCACAAGAGTGAGCCCAAGGCCAAGTACTCACAAGGGTGAGCCCAAGGAGCCCAAGGCCAATGCCAAGTACTCACAGGGGTGAGCCCGAGGCCAAGTACTCACAAGAGTGAGCCCGAGGCCAAGTACTCACAAGAGTGAGCCCAAGGCCAAGTACTCACAAGAGTGAGCCCAAGGCCAAGTACTCACAAGGGTGAGCCCGAGGCCAAGTACTCACAAGGGTGAGCCCGAGGCCAAGTACTCACAAGAGTGAGCCCGAGGCCAAGTACTCACAAGGGTGAGCCCAAGGCCAAGGACAGAGTGAGAGTGAGCCCGAGGCCAAGTACTCACAAGAGTGAGCCCAAGGCCAAGTACTCACAAGAGTGAGCCCAAGGCCAAGTACTCACAAGAGTGAGCCCGAGGCCAAGTACTCACAAGAGTGAGCCCGAGGCCAAGTACTCACAAGGGTGAGCCCAAGGCCAAGTACTCACAAGAGTGAGCCCAAGGCCAAGTACTCACAAGGGTGAGCCCAAGGCCAAGTACTCACAAGGGTGAGCCCAAGGCCAAGTACTCACAAGGGTGAGCCCAAGGCCAAGTACTCACAAGAGTGAGCCCGAGGCCAAGTACTCACAAGGGTGAGCCCAAGGCCAAGTACTCACAAGAGTGAGCCTCACACTCACAAAGGGGAGCCTAAGCCAAGTACTCACAAGGGTGAGCCCAATGCCAAGTACTCACAAGGGTGAGCCCAATGCCAAGTACTCATAAGAGTGAGCCCAATGCCAAGTACTCACAAGGGTGAGCCCAAGGCCAAGTACTGTCTGTAGACCAACGCTTGAATATATATGATTTTGTTGGAAACAAAGAACTACACTTGAACAGGAACCTTTGTGAAGTGGGAGATTCAGATTCCTGAACCTGACCTTGCTGTTAACTTTTGCATTATAGTAAGGCCTGAGTGGAATGAACAATAATATGGTTCAGGGACAGACAGACTAGGTCGTCCGATGCCGTGCACCAACATGGGAATTCGTACTGCGTCGTGGACGACGGTCAATGTTGTGAAAAGAGGGATGAGGATACAACTCCATATCCTACGACGCCTAAATTTGGTGGTACATCAGATATGGAATCTGTTCTTTCCAGAAGGTTTTCAGCCAGTCCCCGCGAACTTGGCCGTACTCAAACTTCCAAACCAGCGCGCCATGAGCGCATTACGAGAGTCAGGCACCACCCAGAAGTCGAGGGGTGATTGCCAGCCATGTCGTAACAAAATAGTTTAAAAGATGGTAGTTGTTTCCATGCCCAGTCTTTGGCATTGAGAGAATACCACATGGAGTCTGAATGCTATGTGTATACCAATGTTACAACGCGGCATGCATGGTGTGTCTCTGGGTTAGTACTATAAAACCGACCCAGTTTCACCTCAATGCAGACCCGTGAAGGTCCGGGTTAGAATGAACCTTCAGTAACCCATGCTTGTCGTAAGAGGCGACTAACGAGATCGGGTGGTCAGGCTCGCTGGCTTGGTTGACACATGCCATCGGTTCCCAATTGCGCAGATCACTGGATTGTCTGGTCCACACTCGATTATTTACACACCACCGCCATATAGCTGGAATATTGCTGAGTGCGGCGTAAAGTTAAACTCACTCACTCACTCACTCACTCACCTAAGCTGAAAGAGACAACCCACATCAGTGATTGACATCACGAGCATGAATACCTGCACTTGGGATACGATGACATGTAATATGCAGTAAATACGCGGGTGTTTGTTTTTCGTTGCATTTCATACATCAAATAAGCTTGTTAGGGCGATAACTCAAGAAAGAAATGATGGATTTTGTTCAAATTTGGTACCAAGGTATATTGGCGAGATTCACCGACACAAGTGAAATGGAGTGACCTTGAGATAATTTTCAAGGTCACAGCAAAAATCTGAGGGTTTTGCCAATATAAAGATTGTTAGCGCGATAACCCAAGAAAGAATTGACAAATATTAGCTAAATGACGAAAATGATATTCGTCCTGATATATAATCGATATAAGATCTCTTACTGTCCTCTGTATCATGTCTTTTCGCAAATATCTTTTGAGGTTTTGATATGTATAAATATAAAGTGGGGGGTGGGTTTCTAACGGGTATATCAAATCAAATCAAATCAAATTAGACATTTGTATAGCGCTACATATCCAGAGTCCTGCTCATGTGCGCTTAGTCGAATGCTCGTTTGAAGAGGATGGTTTTGCGACAAGATCGGAAACTGTTGGTATTTTCCGATTTTCTGACATTTTCAGGTAATCAATTCCAGAGTACAGCACCCGGTCTGCTAAATGATCTGTCTCCGTATGTTGTGGTTAGGACAAATGGAATAGCCTAGCTGACTAGCAATGAAATGCATCACAAATTAAACTTCAGGAAACAAAATAAAGCAAGAAACATGTTTGTATGTTTGAGATTGGTAGAGGTCGGCTAGAATCAAACTTAGATATTAAACTGCACAAAAGGCAATTTGAAACTACAATCGCTTGTTCAAATGACTCCCCCTTCGGTTTACTGAAAGAACTCGAGTAAGAAATGATGGATTTGGTTCAAATTTGGTACCAAGGTTTATTGACGAGATTTACCGACACCACTTGAATTTAGTGACCTTGAGGTCATTTAAAGGTCACAGCGAAGGTGTAAATGTTTTGCACATGCCAAGCTTGGTAGCCGCGAAATTAGGAAAGTATTAATAGATTTTGATCCAATTTTATAATAAGGTATCCCCCTACACCAATTGAAACAAAATATGCAAAAAACATGTTGTATGTTGGTAAAAGTCAAACTTAGATATTAAACTGCACAAAAAAAGCAATTTTAAACTATAATCGCTTGTTCAAGTGACTCCCCCTTCATGTTTACTGAAAGGGCTTGTTTTGGAGACACTACCCACCCCCTTTCGTTTTCCATTTTCTGCAAATTTGCAAGAAACATAATACCCCAATGTTGTGATGACTAATATCTCGTTAACGACATTACCCACATGAAATTTTGGATATGACTTTGCTAATGATTCCTTCATAATAAAATGGAAGCTTTTTTTCAAACATTGGACATCGAGAATATACAGTGGAAACCGCCTAAGTAAAGACCGTTTAACTAAACAGACCTGATAAGTAAACACTTTTCTTTGGTCCCGGCAACTTTCTTCATTAATTATCACTATTAGAGTCTGGTTAACTAAACTCGGATAAGTAAACAATACCGCTTAACTAAACGTCTTCTCACGGTCCCTGGAAGTAAATTACTTACTGTAGTTAGTTTGGCTACTTTTTCAACGCCCCTCGTAACATACTTAAAAGAAATGAGAACGTCTAAGGCAAAATGCATTTCGATCTCTGAATACTTCTGAGCTATTTAAATACAAAAAGCAAAGGAATAAAGTAAATAATCTGAAAAGAATAGCCAAGGGAAACTTTTAATCTATTTTTGATAACTATTTATCACCTCAGTCTACTCAATCAGGTGGTTACTACTTCATCGGGACCCATTCCCCTTCTTGTCACTGATGATTCTGGGATACCTTCAGTTTTTACAGATTTGGATAAAGCTCAAACATTAAATGAATATTTTGTATCTGTTTCAAATGTTACTGACGGCGGCAAGACTTTGCCACCTGTTAGCCATCGCTGTGTTAACAGTATAACAAATGTCATTGTAACCGAAAAGGAGGTATCTGAAAAGACCTTACCAGCAAACAAATCTAGTGGACCTGATGGCATTAACATGAGAGTGTTAAAACGAATTTGTACATCTATAGCTGAACCTCTTTGTTTGCTGTATAATATATCACTGAGTGACTGTATTTCCTACATTGTGGAAAACGGGTGATGTTACTCCTATTTTGAAAGATGGAAATGCATCCCTAATACCTATCCTTTGTAAAATCCTTGAAAGAATAATGGTAAAGCATGTGCACGACCATTTCCATGAAC